TGTTTATCCATTCATCATCCATCAGTGGAGACTTGTGTTTTGTTTTTCACCTTTAGGCCATTGTGAATAATACTGCCATAATAAATAGGAATGTATGTATAAAAATATCTCTTTGAGACCCTGATTTCAATTTTTTTAAAATCAATACCCAGAAGCAGTATTGCTGTGTCAAATGGTAATTGTATTTTGAATTTTTTGAGGCAACTCCCTAATCTTTTTTTTCACAGGGTCTGCACCCTTTTACATTCCTACCAATAGTGTACAAGGGTCCCAATTTCTCCACATCCTTGCTAACACTTGCTATTTTGTTTTTTTTTCTTTTGTTTGTAGGATTTTTCTTCTTGATAAAGGCCATCATAATGAATGTTAAAGATGTAATTTTTGGAGGAGGTAGTATGGGAGTGAGACTGCATGAAAGTAAGAAGCTGAGCCACGCTGATTGGGAACATTTCTGGCTGTGAGTTTGCAGGCTGCACACAGGGATTAAAGGTATCGGTGTTTTGATGGCTGTCTCTTCCCACATACTGACTCAGAAAAGTACACCTTCCTACTAATTCTGGGAACACAGATCTGATGTGTTTGTGGGTTTCTGGGAAGGGAAAAAATTCTGAGTTGAATGTCCTGGCTGGGGTCTGAGCATGCTCAGTGTTCACCATTTTTGTTCTCTGAAAGTCTACTCTGTGACCACTGTCAGGGAGACAGACAGTGTGAGCTGAATTGTGACCCCAGAAATCCATATATTAATGTCCTAACATCCAGTACCCCAGAATGTGACTTTATGTGGAGCTAGGGCTTTTAAAGAGGTGACTGAGTCAAAACGGGTCTATATGGGTGGGCCCTAATCCAATATGACAGTGAATTTATAAGAAAAGGAAACAAGAACACATACACCGAGGGAAGACTGTATGAAGACACAGGAAGAAGATGACTGTCTGTTAGCCAGAGAGAGGCCTTAGTGGAAACAAACCCTGCCAACACCTTGATTATGGACTTGTAGACTCCAGACTGTCAGACAATAAATATTGGGTTTAGCCGCTCAGTCAGTGGTACGTTGTTGTGGCCCCCTGGGAAACTAATAGAGGCCCTCAGACCTCCCTTCTTTTATATATTCACTCCCTACATGGCCTCATCTGCTCATGGCTTTAAATACCATCTCTATGCTGATGTTTCCAAAGGAAATCCCTCCCTGTGGACTCCCAGACCAACAGACATCTTCAATTTAGCATGTATTGGTGTATCATCTAAGCCCAACCAACCCATGCCATAGGTAAATCAGTCTCTACTTCAAATTTTTTACTAGCTCTTTACAATTTTTTTTTTCAGTAATGTTCCCTTAGTTATGAATGCCAGCAGCCCACAACTTTTCTGCTCACCCTTGGATATTAGGAATATTCAATGGTTACCTTAGGTAGCAAATATAGTCTCACTGAGAAATTGAAATGGTCCAAATTGATTTAATGTCAGAACTTTTCTCAGGTCTGATTTAAGCAGGAAACAGCTATGGCAGATGGAAAAATGATTTGCTTGACAATAGGTCAACTGGGATTCTGGTTGGAAGGTTAGACAGCTAAGTGAAGATTTGGGATATGTTATACATCAGCTCAGACTAAACCCGTCTAGTATATTTTGTGAACCTCTCAGGTAAATGAAGTGAATAGCTCACCTCTTCTGTCTTTTTAGAAGCAGGAAGCCAAATTTTGATACTAAGGGGGTATGAAACTCATCCAATATTGTACAAGATGTAACCAGTAAATTTAGAACTTGGAAAATCTGTTGAACTTCAAAGCTCATGAGCTTTGATCTATGCTAGTGTTATTTCAAACTGGGTTTTTTTTGAGCACCAGGATAGTCAAGGCCATATATGGGGGTTGCAGGTGGTTGGGGGGTAGGGTGGTGTGTTTTAATTTTCTAGGGCTGCTGTAACAAAATACTACAAACTGGGTGGCTTATATCAACAGAAATTTATTATCTCACAGTCCCAGCTTTGGAGGCCACAACTTAGAAACCAAGGTATTGCCCCTTAGGGGAGGACCCTTTCCTTCCTCTTGCAGTTTCTTGCAGCAGCATATCTCCAATCTCTGTCTCTGTCCTCACATGGCTGTCTTCCCTCTGAGTCTGGGTCTTCACGTGGCATTTACCTTCCTGTGTGTCTCTTTTGTCTTCTTAATATGGACACTACTCATATTGGACTAAAGGCCCATGCGATTCTAGTATGATTTCACCATAACTTAACGCATTACACCTGTAAAGAACCTATTCCCAAATAAGGTCGCATTCACAGGTAGCAGGGATTAGAACTTCAGTATGTATTTTGGAGAGACACAACTCAATCAATATCATGGGTGAGTAGAGGCCATGTGAGTGGGTTCTCATCTTCACCCAATTTCAAGTAGGGTTGCCTGGTTTTGCCTGGTTAGTATTTTGGAATCCCTTGAAGGATTTTGCTTGAAAGGAGTGCCACTGCTAAGCAATGTATTGAAAACCACCTATCTACGTACAGTATGTCACTTCCTACAAAGAAACAGGCAAACACATCATTCATCTGGCTGCAGAAACGGCTTTTGCTTCACACTTTATAACTCTTGTTTTTCTTTTACACTAGAGGCCCAGTGCACGGATGGGATCCCTCGGCCTTGGCTGCGGAAATCAGTGGACCTCCGCGCCATCACAGCCCACTTTTACCCGCCAGCTCCTTGGGCTCAAGTCTGCTGTCCGCATCGATCCCCCACAACACAAAGTAGTGCAGGAAGAGCCAGACAGCTGGGGAGGAGCCCGGGCCTGGGCTGGGTGCAGTGCTGCTCCAGCTCATCCCGGCTCTGCTGTGCCTGCAGCTGCCACCGCCACTTGGGTGTGCAGCCCTTGTGTTTGTGGGAGAGACTTGTGCCTCCACAGCTATGCTTGCCAGCCATGAGCCTGGTATCTGGCACCCGTTGGTCAACTGAGCAGCGCACTGACCATCAGGGGCAGCTCCTGTGTTGAGCATCTGCCCTCTGGTGGTCAGTGTGCATCATAGCTACCGGCCATGGGTTATCTGGGTATCTGGGTGTCTAGTCACTTAGGCATATGTGTATCTATATCTATATCTATATCTATATCTATATCTATATCTATATCTATATCTATATCTACCCTATCTTATCATCTTGGACAAGGCATAAATGGCCAGTGCCTGCTGGTGGGTGTTGCTCTCAAACTGCCACTGAGAATAGATTGAATGGCATCTGTCTGGCCATTCTCTCCATCCTTGTTCCTTCTGAGTCCCCTTGAATTGCCATGTGGGCCATGCACGTGTGGTCTGTTCCTCTTGGGGGCTCTGTGTCAAGTATACTATCACTTATGCTTTCTGGTGCCCTTGGAAACCACAGCCTCCTTTAATTAAAGGCAGGAGTTAGCGTGATGACAGGATTAGTATCAGTGTCTGGCCTCCCTAAGGGCCAGGGAGCATTGCGGTCAGTTTTCCCATCTGCATAACCAGACTGTTATATGTTTATGAAAAAACAAAGAGTTTATTTCTTCTTTCTTCTAGGCTTGCAGTCTGCTCTACCGGCTTTAGGAAAATAGTGGAGATGAGTCCCACGGGAATTGTTTGGCTATTTCACTGAAATGCAGGGTGCTGTGGCTTTAAATGCATTGCTATTCTGCCCCTTGCTTCACTGCAGAATGAACAACAGTGATGTTGTGCTGAACATCATTTACAGACGTTTTAGGAAGGGCTCAGCAGTTTTGTGAGAATGAAGCTGTATTACTCTAGTGTAATGACCCAAAAGAAGAAAAAATAAATAAATCTGGTTTTCATGCCCTAGGAAAGATCCAAGGCCTGGCCATGTCGCATCCTTTTCTGCTTTGTTAAGGGTTTGGAAAGTACAGGCTATTCATTTAGCCTATGGGCACAAATGTGAAAAAAACTTAGAAGCTGAGCTGGAATGAATATTAGGGATAGAGCTTTTGTTACCCAATTGTAGACAGAATATTTAGAAATAGAGAGTTTGCAAAGTGCCAGCAATCTATCCAACAAGTCCTCACCCCCTGCCCCATACACAAAAAGGGTTTAGAAATGATCATCAACTCAGAGAAAGTTCTTTTACAAATTCAATGTTTATTTCACTTTATTATGTACAAAAAGTGCCAAGTGAACATAAAACAAAATAAAATCCTTTCAGCTGCACTGACTTTAATTGCCCATTATCTGATCAACACGATTAATCATAGAAATAATAGACTGTCACCACAATGTTAAAATTGTTATACAGGAAGATTGTGATGTTTGGCTATTTGAAGAATGTTACATCGAGAAAAATAAACCATAAAGCAACCTGGGCGGGGTGAATGTTCAGAAGATACTGAGATAATCACTCCATTGAAAAAGTGAATCTACACAGCAAATCTTCAATAAAGAATAATGTAGTCAAAGCCTAAACTCAGATCTAGTTGGTTGACTCAGCCTAAGTGGGCCAACAGTAATCACTTTGCATTTTAATTTTCCCACAGAACACAAATACAGTTGGGCTGTGGAATAAACTGTGACTTTAGAGAAGATTTTGCAGAGTATCATTATTTCCATAGGAGAGTCTGGTAGCAGGGGAGTCATATGGAATTAAAGACGGCGATGGTGTGTTGCTGTAGAGGGCCGCCCGAGAAGGCACATGGACATTCTTTAAATTGTTAGCTGAGATGGAAGCACTGGCAGAGTACCTTTGTCCAGGTGTTAGCAGGGGCGGGTCTAGATATGTAAATCCAGTAATGCTAGAGCCTAGTTAAGAATGCAAATAAGCTCTTTTGACCCTATAAGTAAACCTGCTGTGTGGCTTGGGGGGTCGCCTTTGCAGCCTCTCCATCAGAGAGGTGGTGCCCTCCTAGAGCCCAGCTTGATGAATCTATTCCTGCCTCCATGTTTATTTCTTCTTTCTTTAATTTCTTAATCCCCAACTCCTCCACTCAGGAACCTGTCATTTTCCGTGATGGACACGGAAAACAGAGAAACAGCCCCCCGAATTTAGTGATCAACTCATAATGTCATTGCTGGCTTATGGCACAATGAACATATTTTGGGTAAAACGTAAAGCCAATGATGGCATCACACATGCAAAGATTTTTAAAAATAAGCTGAATTGTTTTACTCTTTTTTTCTAAACTCAATTATTCAAATACTTTTTAAGGAATTCAACCTCTTTCTGTAACTATGTCTCTCAAGTGACTTCTGTAAGGTTTGTTTTAAGTCATTTAGCAACATGTGTCAATTTCTTTGTCTGGTACCTGCACATACAATTCTCTGAGAAGAGGCAAAAATTTCATTGGAGTGACTGAGGACAGAAATTGACTTTTTTCTGACCTCTAAACATCTTGTGTATATTTTCAAAAAATAACACAAGAAAAAGAATATACTTTTTAAAATTCAAAATCTGTAATTTGTAAAATTATTAGCACTTTGGCATGAGCTCAGTGCTGACCTTTTCAGATCAATTATAAATAATAAATTCCCCCAAGAGAAATATTTCTAGAGGAAGTGGGAAAAAATAAACTAAAGCTATAGCTCCTGTACTATATATATGAACCACTTTGGACTTAGCACACTTTAAGGGGTGGTAACAATATATAAGAGCACATATGAATATATACCTTAGTTTACAGAGACAGAATATATAGAATTTTTGAACAATCTACATCTCGTATTGGTATAATTTCTAATATTTTCTAATACTGCCATTTTGCAAACTGTCTCAAACACATGGTAATAACCCACCATTTGCACAATTCTGACAGACCAGTTTTTATGCCTTCTTACGCAGGACAAATTGGAATTCAATTATGCATCAATTATGGATTGCTGACTGGACAATGGAGGAAAATACTAGAAAGTACTTTTCACCATTAGACTGCCATCTGCATTGATTCCCACCTAAATATCCAGAAGGTCATCTCCACTCTCGTCGCTCTCCACGGTCAGCTGCCGGGTCCACCACTTCTTAACCTCAGAACCGCAGGAAGCTGTGTCCGTCATGGGGTTCATTTTACACACTACAGACTTCATGGTTGTCCGCCCTCCAAACCGTAAGTTGACTGAAGACACCGAGTGGCTTATTGGCTTTGGTGCTGTGGAATTAACCAGAGTCCTGTGAGCAAAATGGTGTTTTACTGTGTCATTCCTGAAAAACCATGACATTCCCACCTCCTAGTAATGCTTTTGATGAACAAGTCCTATCTTTTTGAGTATGAAAAGATGTTGAGTTTGGAACCTTTTCAGCACTGGATTCTTTATGTTCATAATGGACTTTAAAATTATGTTCATGGACAACTAATAATGCCATATGAAAAAAAAAATGCTGCTTGCCTCTTGCACTTTGAGATAATTACAAAAACTAAACTAAACTAAACTAAACTAAACTAAAAAGCTCCAATTTGGGCAAATGTAAGTGTCATAGAAATATTTGTGAGTCCGTGCTCATTAGTATCCTATCTAATAAAGAGGGAATATGCAAACTGACCATCACACCGTGACAAAGACTGCGGCTCCCGTAGCCACAAGATGGCAACGCCCAGTCCCCTCAGCCCCACCAGAGTCCCCCAGTTCTTTCAGCCCTGCCAGAGGGGTGGCAGGTGCACAGTATGGCTGGACCCTTCCTTAGCCCCCCAGCCACCCAGGGCCGCCTGAGGTTCAGGAAACCAGGGCCTGCCGAGGCTTGCACTGCTGGTATAGCCTTCCCCTGATCACCAGCATGCCTCCCACTTGAGGGCTTCCGGATTGTCAGAGGGGGCAGGCTGGGATGAGGGACTTCCCCCTCCAGTACGAAGCTGTAAAATGAATAATTCTGGAGATCTGATGTGCAGCATGGTGACCACAGTTAATAAGACTGTTCTGTATACTTGAAATCTGCTGGGAGAATAGATCTTAAGTATTCTCACCACAACCAAAAAAGGTGAGTAATGAGCTGATGCATATATGTTGACTGCAGCAATCTTTTCACAATGTGTCTGTTAATTAAAACATCACTTTATACACTTTAAATATATGCTTTTAAATAAAAAGTAAGATGGAAATGGGGGAGGGAGAAAAAGAAGAATATGCATAGCATGGCACCTGGTGCAAAGTTGGTATCCCCTTAAAATGCCTTCTCTTGCCCTTTGCCTCTTCACACTCAGCATGTCCCAATAGCTGTCTCTTTAGTTATCACCGGGCCACTTCAGCGTGGGCCGTTAGAGGCACTTTTGACGACATCCTTTCTTTTATACTTTTCAGTGAACATCAAGGACTGTACTTCTCCTAGGTCATCTCTCCTACTTGTTGCTCCAGGGTCTGGACCACTGCCGCCAACTTTGGCCATGTTGTCACCTCATGCCCAGGTTTTACGGTATCATCCTCTGGCTCCTAATGTTGCCTCCAGACTCACTCTCTATTCTCCCTGAAGCACTAATTCCAAGTACTATGTCTTGCACAGGAACCTGTACTGGCTCCTAACAGCTACAGGATGAAGCTGAAACTACTCAGCCTGTCACAGCTTTTCATGGCCTGGCCCATCCCCTACTCAATCTCATTTCCCATCACTCCTAGCTTTGTTTTCCCAGGTGGAAGCTATCTTCTCTCTGATCCTTACAAAATAAACTCCCAGATGTGAAAACAGATACTTTCCTTCTGATGTTAAGATCCACTGAACAACTTTTAGTCTCAAAACTTAAGCTACACTGCCTTCTGCTTTGTGGAACAGACATGCTACAGAAGAGTTTGCAACGTTATCCACCTCCTCATTGGATTGGATTGAAGAAGGAGAACAATTAGGGAGCATTAGGAAGCCCCTATTTTATCATGGATTCAATGATTTAAACAGAAAACCACATATGGGGGACAGTGAGCTGAGCAGATCATTGCTCCTCCTCCACTGCTGAGTGCTCGTAATGGGACTGTCCTGGCTTTCCCAAAACCCATGTTCTTCTAGGAAAAAAATTATCTCACTGAGTGTGAGAAAGAATAGGATTGCGAGGATTAAGTGAGGGAAAATGCATGTATAATACTGACTGGCACACAGTAAGTAGTATAGCACTAATATATAATACATCATATATCATATATCATATATTATATTGTATCATGCTATGTCAGTTTTGTTGTTCCCTCTTTGAGAACTGTAGCATTTTCTTAAATGACCAAATCTACTCACTTGCTCTTAGGTTAAAAAAATTTTTGCCTATGCTTGAGAATGCCTTAAATACACACATATAGGAAGTCCTTGGAAATCGTCTTTTTAAAAATGATCTTGGCTATGAAATCTCACTTTGTTAATAATAAGTATTGCTTTCTCAACCATAGTAACTGAAAACGAGGGCCAATACAGTGCTGTTTAGAGGAGTTATTTTGAGGGAAATATCTTTGATAAGGAGATATATTTTTCATGTCTATAAATAACTTCAGATGCAGACCCTTATTTTGAAACCTAAGATCCTAAACACACAGATTGTCATCAACTTAAAATGCTTCAATCAATGGAGAAAGGACTCGGTACACATACCTGAGGGCAGACGCCACTGCCCAAACTTCCTTTGGGGTTTCCCTCCATCCCCTGCATCTTGCCGACTTCCCCCTCTGTCGGATAGGGTGGGGCTCAGAAGCTGCTGCTGGCTGCTCATCTGCAGGGGGAAGAAGAGAATAGCGATTTTCTTAACCCTGTGCTCTCATCTTCTCTGCCTTCATCTTCATATGACAAAAAGAGTGAAGTTGAACCTTTTGCAATAGACTACAGGGTATTATGCTACAGGAAATAAGACAAATCCTATATGATTTTACTTGTATATGGAATATGAAGAACAAAATAAACAAACAAAATTGAAACAGACTCAGAAATACAGAGAACAGATTGATGGTTGCCAGAGGGGAAGTAAAGAGGGGGCACTGGGTGAAAAAGGTGAAGGGATTAAGAAGTACAAGTTGGTAGTTACAAAACAGTCTTGGGGATATAAAGTACAGCATAAAGAATATAGTCAACAATATAATCAATAACTATGTATGGGGGTCAGGGAGGGGAGGACCACTCTGTAAAGTACATGGTTTCTAACCACTATGCTTTACAGTTGAAACTAATACAGAATTGTAATGAATGTAAACTATAAGTGAAAAAAGAAAGAAAGAAAATGACAGTAAGTAAGTGGGAGAAACAATATGGACCCATAATTTCCACAATGGGGAAAGGAAAAGTGAAAATGAGTAAAAAAAAGAGTCAAGGAAAGTGAGGGTCACCACTGCCCACTGTGAGGAAAGGAGGCCTCTTCAGGTAGCTTTTCTTTGACTCCCCTCAAGATACCTTCACCCCCACATCCACATTCCCTCCATGCTTGGTAAACTTTTACTAAAGCAAGGATGGCGGCATTCCAGGAAGGAAGGGGGTAGGGGGACAGCCAGCACTCCCTGGCTTGGAGGAAGCATGCTCTTGCCAACCTGAAGGTCAATCAATGCCTAGGGCTTCAGAAAGAAAATTCTCCACAGATCTGGGATGGGTCCTGGAGGAGATCAAATCTTATATCAATGAAGTCTAAAGTCTCTCACTTATATGCAGAATTTAATGAAAAATAAACTGAGGAACAAAACTGGAACAGAGGCATAGATACAGGGGACAGACTGACAGCTGTCAGGGATTTGAGGGACTGGATGAAAGAAGGTGATGGGATTGGGCAAAAAAAAAAAAAGATATCAATCTATCTATATATAGATATAGATATACCCCCAATAGATATAAATATAGATATGTAGATATATATAGATATTGATATATAGATATATCACAGACAACAGTGTGGTGATAGCCAGAGGGAAGGGGAAAAGGAATGGGGGGTAAGAGGAGGTGGGCAAAGGGGGGAAAATGGGGTCGGAAAGAGACTTCGCTTGGGGTGATGAACACATGATACAGTGTGCAGATGATGTTTGAGTTGTACACTTGAAACCTGTACCCCAGTCAATTCAATAAAAGACTACAGTCAAAGAGAAATGCTGAGACTCTCCACACATTTTACCCACCCTCTGGTTGACCCTCACCTTCCCCTTTCCTATCAGCGCATTAGCATTCACGTTGTTTCAATATCCCCTTTTGACATTTTGGGTACCTCTTGGGTTTTTTGGCTCTTTTAACCTAACACCAGAGAACTCAACAAATCATCACTTTCCCTGACTCATCAGCCCCATCTGACTATCCGGACCTAATCTCAGGCCTGCACCCAAGGCACTGCCAGCCCTCCTCAGGGCACACAGGTGGCAGGGCCATTGTAGAAATCTCCATATCTCTCTTTGTTGACTGTCTCCTAAACAAGTGCTTGTAATTCATGGCAGATGATTCCTATAGGCTGGGAGCCAACAACACGAAATCCACTCAAATCTGGGCTATGAACAAGAGGGCTCCTTGGAGCATCCCACTGGGCCATGAAGCCTCAGGCTTCGGTGTTTATCGCTGGCTCCTGGCTGTGTCACTGTGCAATTGGAAGTCTGATGTTCCTGGGGGTGGGGGAGGGGAGCTCTCAGAATGCCGGATCAACTCCACCCAGTCCATAACTGCATCCTCACAAAGGGCAGGGCCTCTGCCAGCTGTCTCCCAGCACAGGGCTCTCCAGGACACTGGGGCCTCTGTGGTACTTTTATGGACATGTAGATTGAGTTTGGAAATGAAAATATGCTGTGCCCTAGTAAATAGGAGGCCTTCAAGTTAATCGTCCCCAAACTCCATATGCTCTTCTCATGCCCAGCTGAGGAAGAACAACTCCTCAATTTAAGGAGGATGAAGGTCAATGTCAAACCTTTTCACTGATTTTATTGCAAGTTTCTATGACTTAGTAGGAGAAAACATGTAAGGTAGAGCTTCAGGCAAATCCTGTTCTCCTAAATCAGGAGTGGGGAACTGTTTTCTGCCAAGGGCCATTTGGATATTTATAACATCATTTGAGGGCCATACAAAATTATCAACTTAAAAATTAACCTGCTATATTTGGTCAAACATTTAATTAACTCACCCTAATGCCTTGGCAGGGCCAAACCAAATGATTTATCAGGTTATCAGGCCTTATATGGCCCATGGGCCAGGCCATTCTTCACCCCTGTCCTAAATCATGTGATATTGCCAGACTTAAACCCTTACAGAGGTGATATTAACTCTTAGGCAGACGGAGAAAGAGAGAAGAAGAGAGAGGGAGGAAGGGAGGAAGAGAGAGGGGGTGGGGAGATATCAATAGTATTTTAAAATACAGGGCATTAACACTATTTTAGTATTCATAAAAATCAGAATCTTTTCAAATAACTTCAACTAGGTCAGGAACCACAAAGACACAAATATAATCTTGGATCACCCTATTCCAATTGTTGTTGTTTTTAAATCCTCACCTGAGGATATTTTTCTACTGATTTGTAGAGAGAATGGAAGAGAGAGGGTATGCACAAGCCTGGGCCAGGGAGGAGGCTGAGTCCGAGGTGTGTTCCCTTGACCAGAATCAAATCTGGGATCTTTCAGTTCACAGGCCAACACTCTATCCACTGAGCCAAACTGGCGAGGGCTGATTGTTGATGTTTGTTAATGTAAAAACTTCCTATTAGATATATTGTCACCTTATTTGAAATGGCTGTGAACAGCACCAGTTTATCTTTTATTTTATATATGCACAGAATATCCTTGAATGAAAGACTTCTCATACTCGTACCTCAGGTTGCATATTATTATCTTGACTGTTGGCATTCATGTCTTCACTGGGTTGGGTGGTCTCAATACTGGGGGGATTCAGCCTGTCTCGAAACCGGTTCAGCTCCTGCTGCTGGCTCTCTCTCAGGCTGTGGATGATGCTGCATGACTGCTGCTGTTTCTATGGAAATATGATTGTTTTTGCAGGAAAGGAAAAATCAGCCCACCGTCCTTCTGCCCCAGCAGTCATATTTCCTTCTCTCTGCTCCAAAGACCCTGTAGCTTGGTAACCTTTTGGGAACTTTCAACTAATTTTGGAACTTTCAAGGGTCATTAACTAATTTCCCTGATCAGACTCCCATAAAGAAAGGCTTAGAGACTTAGAATTGCTTAGCCCTTCCATTTTCATTTGCATGACAATTGGGAGTAATGTTCACTGGTACTAGCTTGTGTTTTATTTAAAACTAGAGGCCAGGTGCATGAAATTCATGCATAGGTAGGGTCCCCAGGCCTGGCCAGGGATCAGGGCTGATGGGGACCTTCTGGCTGCCAGCTGGGGCCTCCCTTCCCCGGCTGCCAGCTGATAGCCTGGACTTTCTGTCATCCTGCACCCCCCCCCCCCCCCCCCCCCGGTGGTCAGCGCACAGTCATAGTGAGAGATAAAACTCCCAGTCTCCTGGTTGAACTCCTGGGGAACACTTTGCATATTAGCCTTTTATATATATAGATTATATAGATAGATAGATAGATAGATAGATAGATAGATAGATAGAATTCTTAAATCACTAATGTTATTGGTGGTGTGTTTCTTCCCCCTTTGTATTTTATTCTATGCTTGCTAAGCCTATGTGGGTCACTCCTTTCCTCGAAGAAGTAGGAGCAGAGAGTCTTGGGTGCAAAAGTGAAACCCTCATTTTTGTCTTGGTTCTGGACTGGAATGGGCCAGTCCAGTGAACTGATCTGTCTTATCACACATTGGGACCAGGGCAGCCTGGTGGTGGGCCTGCACTTCTGGAGCCCTGCTTTGGATCACAGATTCTATAATCCCTGGATTTAGTAGAGCCTTGATGGGCCAGCTGTGACAGGTGCCTGCCTATAGAAGATTGGGGTGTTGGTTTTCAGTGGATGTTGTTCTGAGAGACAGAATTAAAAAAAAAAACCTGTTATGTAGAAATGGTTAGTGATTAATTTGATTTCCTCCCACGTGTAAAGCATAAGTCAAAAGCATTCATAAAATTAATTACCTACTAGAAATGCCCATGGTAAATACAGTGCATACAAACACAGTTAATGCTCATGTTCATGGATTTAAGAGATAGAAGATCTCATAGGCTTAAAGGTCAGGAAGCAGCAAACAGATTGCTGCTCTCCCAGGAGAGGTGGTCTTTAATTAAAGATCACAAAGAATTATCACCAATATGTTGGGGATTTTTAGGAACAAATTAAAAGTAGTTGCCAGTCAATATGTAGAGATTGATGGCAGTTTAAAACAGCTGAGATTAATAAGTGGACAGCATGAATACTCTAACATCCATGAACTGCTTCTGAAACAGTCACACTCTATTATAAAAATGTGACTTAATGGAAACTTCTTATGGACTCTGCTCAAGAGGGTATCACTGGATTCGGACGAGAGTTAAGGTTTGAATCATCATCTGACCATGGTAAGTGGAAGAAGTTGACCAAGTTGGAGGGATATAAGGCTAATCACAGAGGGATCTAATCCCCTTGTTCAGGAAGCTCTGGAGGAGGAAATAAAATCCCAGATGCTTCTGGCTCACTCACGGCTCTGATGCGCTTTAAGCACTTCTTCAGCCACATGCGGATGGTCTGCTTGGCCACTTCCTCCTCGATGGTGTACTCCAGCTGCTCCCTTGCAAGCAGCTCCTCCAACTGCAGACTCTTCCGGATGTCAACCGACCGGTAGGAGAGCATGCTATTGGGGAAATTCAACAGCAATTGCAGTTCTTGATTTACCTGGGATTTAGATCTCAAGATCTAGAGAGGTCATCAGTCAGTCCTACCAGTGGAGCATTCTGATGCTACCCTGGCTAACTGGACGGCTTAGGCTAGTTATGTCACTTCACTGCCTCTTTTTGCTCCTCTGTAAAATGGGCATAGTCATGGTACCTACTTTGTTAAGTGATGAAATAGGTTGATATTCGTGAGGTGATTATAACAGTAAGTTTTTGTAAAACCAAAGATCCAGGCTATGCCTGAATAATTGGCTGCTTAAAATGCTGGAACTTTCCCTGTAGAAGGATAACTGCTCTGTCTATTCACATTCAGCTCCAATTGGTGGTGGTTAATATGGTTGGCTTCAGATTATGCATTCCCATCCCCCCTCCCATTTCCCTCTCCATTTCTCTCATCTGTCCCCCTGGACCTTCCTCATTAATGTTGATGGTTGCAAAACCAGAGTGTAACATTCACTCCCCTCCCGTCCTTGGTACAATAGACCCAGACGGCGGCAAATGAAACCAACAAGCTAATGTGTTGCATGGGGGCTCCTGGGCAATAAGGCAACTCATGTGTTCAGGCTGAGGAGTCCACAGCCAAAGGAGGATGCAGCCCCTTCTGGCAGCTTGGCACTCCGTGGTATGGCTGCAGGATCTCAGTTACTGTTCCATCCCTGCCTGGTGTGGGTGGGACCCCAGTTCCCTAGCCCAAATCACAGCATGGTGTCACTGGAGAGGCCCTTGCTCATGCAGCACATGGACAGTGATCTCTTCTTTGCTAAGTCTTTTCCCACCACGGAGGGAAGAAGTGCATTTGCGCTCTCTTTCTCCCCTGCCTCATCAAGAAGCTCATCATTGCTGAAGTGTTTTCACCATACACTGGGCTAGAAGGGAGGGAGAGGCCAATGATGCTTCCATGGACTTTGCCTGGGTTCATTTTATCAGACGTATCCCTGTGCTCCAAAGAGGCCGAATACAATATTAACGACAGTGGTATGACGAGATGCCTCATTTTCAGCCTAAAAATATTTGTCACTAGAAGAAAAGACTGACATTCTGAAAGAGTTGTCATCCTTTGTTATTCATTTTAGATGCATACAATCATATACACATTATTTCAAAGGAAACCAATTGTATAAAAATAGAGTTCTCAGGCCCTAGCTCATTTTGTTCAGTGGATAGAGCACCGGCCTGTGCATCAAAGGGTCCCAGGTTTGATTTCGGTCAAAGACACATGCCAGGGGTTACAGGCTCAATCCCCAGTAGGGGCATGTAGGAGGCAGCCCATCAGTAGTTCTCTCTCATCATGGATGTTTTTCTCTCTCTCCCTTTCTCTCTGAAATCAATAAAAATTATATTTTAAAAAATAGAGTTCTCAAATTATTTTCTTTGAAAGGATTGATATAATAACATAAGTGCTTCTCTATTAGTGTATCAAATAATAACATTTAACTGAGGTCAAATGACTACTATAACTTAGAATAACTTAGAAGTACTGGTGTGCATTCCGAATATTTTAAGATATCAGTCATAGCTGTGAAGACAGTAGGTGTGTCGTTCGAACCACTCAGTGTATGTGCTCTATTATGGCAATCACAGCAAACAAACAGAGAAGCCGCTGTGGCCGCAGGGTACTCTTGTCCTGTCTGGGTCCTTCCTCACCACACCATACGATCTGGAAAACGTGGTTTGTTAACCTGCCTGGGGCACCCATGGCAGAGCAGCCCAGGCAAATTCCTGCCCCACCCACAAGTGGGAAGATCTGCATTTTAGCTCCAGGTTGGCCTCAGGGGCTGAGTAACTGTCAGCAAGTCACTCATCTCTTCTGGGCCAGCTCCTTCCATGAAATAGGAAGAGGGGGCCCATGCTCCGGAGGTCCCTCTGTGTCCTCCCTTCAGGAGCTCCATTCTGGAAGGGGCACTTCTGGACCTTCAGGCCACCCCCCAACCCAGGCGCTCACCTGAACACGACCAGTAATGTTCAGCGAGAAAGACCACCTGGAGTCTTCTAACCACAGCAGATGTGGCCTTTCAGGTTCAGAACTTTCTTGCTAATTGCATTTCACCAGGCCTTTGGTGGTCACGGCTTCATCTGGACTCTGTCCAGCTCTGGGGCACCCAGCTACGACCCCTCTCACAGCCCTCCCTCTTCCCCCATGCACCCTCTACCCCACATCCCTCACCTTAAGACGTCGTGGAAGGTGACATCACCGCCGTTGTGCAGCCTCTCCATCTCGTAGCACATGTGCTTGAACAGAAGCTTGTCCTTGTCCAGGTCCACCTCCAGCCGCCCCCGCAGCAGCCGCAGCAGGAACTTCACGCGGAAGGTCGGGATCACCCCCTGGTAGCGGAGCACAGCAACTCGCGTGTGAATCATCCTCAGGCCCCAGGGAGTCTCCGGGGTTCTGTTTTCACCCCGAAACACCTGGAGCCATTTCTCAAAAGATGGCAAATTAAGCACCGGTGGCAAGGAAGTGGTTGAGGCTGGCTGGGAGATAAAAGCTGAGCACTTCCCAAGGTGTATACATGTGTAGTAATCACTATGTTGGACACCTGGAACTAATGTAATATTCTATGTCCGCTGTAATTTAAAAAATAAACAGCCCTGGCTGGTGTGGCTCAGTTGGCTGGGTATCCTCCTGGGCATCAAAAAGTTGCCAGTTCCATTCCCCGCCAGGGCACATGTCCGGGTTGTGGGCTTGATCCCTGGTGGGGGTCATACAGGAGGCAGCTGATCCATGTTTTCCTTTTACATTTATATATTTTTTTCTCTCCCTCTCTCTCTAAAAGGCAATAAAGATGTTTGAAAAATATTTTAAAATGACCAAAAAATGAAGAAAGTCCTGAGCACACAGAGTTTCTGAAGGTGTACCTCTAATTCTGTGAGGTTTCACAACCACTCAGCGTTTGCAACCAAGGAGGAAGGGACGCTCTCCCTCTGCCTGGCCTGAACAGACACTAGCTTTACTAGGTCTTTCTTTCCCTTCCTCGCTCCCTCCCTCCCTCGCTCCCTCCCTCCCTCCCTCCCTCCCTCCCTCCCTCCCTCCCTCCCTTCCTCCCTTTCTTCCTTCCTTCCTTCCTTCTTTCCTTCCTTCCTTCCTTTCTAAATATACATTTTTATTGAATTCAGAGAGGAAAGGAGAGAAACATCAATGATGAGAGAGAGTCATTGACTTGCTGTCTCTTGCACGCCCCCTACTGGGGACCGAGACCATAGACTTTTCTTTTCTTACCTGAGCCACTGACTCAGCCTCCGCCCCAGTCTCCTCTAAGTGCTGAGTGGCTTAGTAATGCTTTAGCAGAAGAAATGAAACATACACATGTACCTGATCCTCTTCCCACCTAGTTCAGATACTAGGAACTTGTGAATATTTATTTTAAGTTGTTCTTCATAAAATGATCACTTCTTATCAGTTCTCATCCATTATTAGAACAATTACATACAAGAGAACTAGGTTCCCTGCCCTCTTCCTGCTCAGAGCGGCTCCAGATTTTGAAAATCTTTTATGTATCACTCTCTTCCAGGCAACAGAACCTACAGTGCCAGCCTGGCTGTGTCTTAAAATCAGATATTGGGTGAGAGGCAGGGACATTGATGGGCCATGAGTTCCTGTTAGTTACTAGTATCTTAACATGTGAGTGGTGGTGCCACCTTGCATGTGTATGTCAGAGGAAGGCATGTTCCTGTGGACAGCAGTCATAGAGATCAATGGGCTCAGACCCCTATACATGCCAGTCACTGTCCTGGAAGAAAATCCCCAACACTGGTGCCTGGATGAAGTGTGGGGACAAAGAAAGAACAAGCAAAGGGGGTGGAGAAAGCCATGCCTGGTTGTGCGGGCCCCAGTTCCAGACCAGGATGCCACGTTTACTCAGCCTGTTCTGGCCCCTTAGTCTTCATGCCTTCAGTCAACTCTTCCTGAAACAATTTTCAGATCATCCCCAAGAACTTCCCATGGCTGATCTCTCCTCCTTTTTCAGATATTTGGCTCAAATAGACAGGCCTTCATGACCATTTCTGCTAAAGTTGTCTGCTCCTGACTCTTAACTGCTCTCTACCTTATTACCTTCTTCAAAGTGTTTGTAGCTTTTTGAAATTATAATGATTTGAAATTATAATGATTTCATTTTGTCTCCTATGTTAATAGTAAACCTATCCATCTTTTTAAAATATATATATATTTTATTGATATTTTTATGGAGAGGAAGAGAGAGGGATAGAGAGTTAGAAACATCAATGAGAGAGAATCATCGACCAGTTGCCTCTCACACATCCCCTACTGGGGATGTGCCTGCAACCAAGGTATATGCCCTTGAACAGAATCGAACCTGGGACCTTTCAGTCCGCAAGCCGACTCTCTATCCACTGAGCCAAACTGGTTTCAGCAAGACCTGTCCATCTTGCTCATTGGTATATCTCCAGTGCCTAGAACAATGCCTGTGTGTTTGCTGGATGAAGATGGGAAAGAGGAGGAGGAGCAGGAAGCTGCTGTTGCGTTGACTAATTCTAGTAAGTCTTGGGTAAGCCTTATTGTTAAAAACCGACTACTACTAAGTCCAAAATAATTAAAAGGAGTCACTTTAATAAATCACTTAAATAACTCGTTTGCACTTGTACTCAGGATTGCTCTTTTAGGTTGAAGTGATCATGAATCAGTACTCTATTGTTACTTTGATCATTTGAAATTCATCCCTTCTCTTGCCCCAAGCCCAGGGCTGGTTTCTTCAGAGCTCCCTTGGTTTCCTTTTTTGCCAATATCTGACTGCCAGGAGAAGAGGACTTTCTTAGTTGGAAAGGACATGAGAGGGATCTATTCTGTCCCTCTCCTCTCCCAGCATATTCTGCTGGATTGTCGATGACAGCCTTCTGCAATTCACCAATAGCCCTTCAAAATTCAATATATGTCCATGCCAATAACAAAACCATGTCTGAGATAGGGTAGTAAGTCTCTTTGGAGTGGGGCGTGAAATGGCAATTCACTCGCCTACCTCTCGTTTATCATCCACCATATTCCATATGATCTGAAAGTGGCGAAGATCATTGTAACTTAAAAGCTGGTCCTCCTCGGTGGAATAAAACAGGGAGAAATTCTCCACAATTATGGCTAAAAGAAAAAGAAAAGAAAAAAAAATGGTGAATTTAGACAATTACTCTTATCTGTAATTTTTTTTTTTTTAGAAAATGTAAAACATCTATTATAAATAATGAATTGTATCAGCTACATGATAAGCCAAGTGCTTTTAGTATGGCTTCCAAGTTGGCATGTTTTACACTTAGATTAAGCTATTTCTCTAGCTCCTGGCTTTCCAAAACATGAGGGTCATGAGCATAAACACACATTCTGTGTATATCAACAGTCATGCCAGCTGGCTTTCTCTGGTAGTGGAGAGTTCCAGGGCAGTTTTTAAAGGTCAAATTGAGTTCTGGGTGGCCTCACAGCTGGGCGAACAACATGTATCTTTCGAAAACATAAATGTGACATTTCGAGGCTATAAAGGCAACCCCCCAACTCTCGATATTTGTTCATCTCGATCCATGAGAGCTCTGTTGAGATTAATAATCATAATAAATAGGACAACTCTTGAAATTGCAATCAACTGTCATTTACATGCCTTTCAAAAGTCTTTTCAGCTTCTGAATGGAGAGGCAACAATTTATAATTAATGCCATGAAACATCCACCCCAAGCAATCCAGGATAATTACTTGAAAATTATACTTAATTATCTAAGTACCTGAGGTTTAAAAAAAATATGCAGTGAACATCACTTACCTACAAGTAAATTCAGCATGATGTAGGCAATGATGACATAAAATGAACAGAAATACATAAGTGCCCCAGCATAATTCCCACAGTCAGTTGCCCAGTATGTAAATTCATCTGGAGTACAAAAGGGTGGCTGGACCTGCGGGGCAGTGGGAGGGAGAGAGAGGAAAGAATGACAGCAGAGAAGAATACACATTTTTGTTAACTGACTGTAGTTAATGAAAATAGTCCTGACCCATGTAAAATATAATAATTAACTTCAAAGTAATCTCTGAAGCTGTATATGTTAGATACATCATCTGTGGCAAAAGTAAAGAGAATATTTCACTTATGCCATGCTTTTTGTCTTGTAGAATCCCAAGTTCAGTGACATTTTCAAAGCCTAATGAAAATGAACCGGTTTGCTCTAAGAGATGCTTGGTCTGCCACCTGCACTAGCCCCAAATGATAATTGGTCATTGTGATCAAACTGCAGAATGTCAAACAGTAAGTGATGGGGTAAGCTTTGAGGAGGATTTGTAATACACAACAATTTCACATTCAAATTGTGTAAAGAGAAGCCAGTGATCCTTATTCCAGCACCATTAGGGGATGTTGGGACATTTATGGCTCAATAAAATGCCAGTACCTCTGAGAAACCTCCTGATGTCTTTCAGCCAGAGACTAGCTCTCTTTTCCATATTTCCATGGCATTCTACTTCTTCTTTATTTGGAGTTTATTTAATTCTGCCTAGTATCACATTTGATGTGTCCAATTCATGCATAAAGTTCTTGAGTTCCTACTGTGTGCTAGGTTTCTGCTCAGTATTAGGGACAGACTGGTAAGCAAGACAAAGACCCTGAGCCTTCTTCATGTTGCTGACAGTCTAGAGCTGCGCAGTCCAACACGGTAACCACGAACTACCTGAGGCTGTTTAAATTTATGCTCATTAACATTAATACAATGAAATATGATTTAAAATTCTATCCCTTATTTTAACTGGTCACATTTCAAATGCTCAATAACCACATGTGGGTAGTGGCTACTGAATTGGACAGTGCAGATGGCCATTATTGCAGAAATTTTTTTTTTGTATAACATTGATCTGAAGGAGGTGAAATAAACTAATTAAGTCAATAACCCACTATAGTTGTGAAACATGCAAAAAAAAAAGAGAGAAATATAAATATGTGTTGTAAAAACATATAATTTGCAGTCTTAACATAAGGCAGGATTCCTGAAGGAACTGATGTTTAAAGTGGTACCTGAAGGATGATGAGAATTAGCTTAGAGAAGAGAGAGTATAGGTCAGAGCTTCAGACTCCTTGAGAGTGCCTTGGCATCACTAAAGACCTGGCACCCCATGTGTGGCTCAGTATAAGCCAAGGGATTGGTGAATATCTGTTGAATAAATTGAACTAAAGAAGCAGAATTCCCCTGTTTGTACTTGACTGCCAGAGGTTAAAGGCGGAAGAGGAAGAACAATGCCTACATAATGCATATTTATTGAATGGAACCATGATAGTTCACTGGATACTCTTCCTGTATGTCCACACACTGTAACATAAAAGACAGAAATTTTATGGACTAAAAGGCCAGGATATGTGTTTTGTACACAAAGCTTTGATGCTAATGAGGAGGCTATCGCCGATGTTGCATAGCCAAAGAGCTTCAAATGATTCTAAGCTAAGGCATTGTGAGTGACAAAGAGATACTTACCATACAGTCATGCATAATCTTGTTCCAGTCTTCGCCTGTGACAATTCGGAACAGTACAGTAATAGCTTTGCCAGCTGAAGAGAAGTTTGCGTGCCTAAATTAAGGAAAAAGAAAACAGAAGGTGAGTAACATAGTTGTCATGAAGCAGTAAGGTCTGCCACTACCAAAGCAGGTGGATTCTGGAGCAAATTTGATTGCTAAGCAATCATTTCCAAAGGTTACACTCTTATTTGTTTGTTATATATACTTGTCTCAGGTATAGCTGTTTTAATAACCCACCCCTTGCATGGTGCCACCAGTTTCTCGCCACTCATCTTGAATGACTGAGAGAGCAAGCTTTGACAATATAACGTGATTGTTTCTTTCACGTGGATTATGCTCTAAGAGGTGGAGCGGCCATGTGCCATTTCTGCAACAAGACACATTTGCATATAATTGGTTGTGTGAGGACTTTTCTATTTAAAATTGTAAGATGCTTCCACAAAATGTAAGGCTATCTTTAAAAAATGCTTTTTATACATAATAACATTGGGGGGGGGGGGCGGGTAACTTTCCATGTTTTGTTAAAAAAAGGAAGAAACCCAATATCATCTCAAAATTATTTACTTAAAAATAAAATATCATTTTTGGCAGCGTGTGGATAGAAAAGGGGCTGGAATTCACCAGGTTATAAGGAGCAGTTATTTCTGCATGGTAGGAGTTATAGAGTCTTTTTTTTTTTTTTTTCCTGAATTTTCTAAGGTCTCTATAGTAAACATGTATACTGCCTTCAGTTAGAAAAATGTCATTTAAAATTTGGCCTTTTAATTTTGTTTTAATTTCCAGTGGATTGCTTTTTCCTTCCCCTCCATCTTTAATATACAAAAATCATTTAGGTGTTTATTCATAATTTTATTACTAAAAAAGCTTGCTTGATAAACGAATAGAAAGATAAACACACACCTACCTGTTAATGTTCTCTCCATATTTCACAGTACCAAATAAAACAACGCCAGCGAAAGCATAACACAGCAGCAATAGGAACATTCCGACGATGATAAAGAAGCTTTTATACATGCTGACGACCACCGTCAGGAGGAGCATCTTCAATGTTACCTGTATGGAGATGGAGATGGAGATGGAGATGGTGATGAAGATGGAGATGGAGATGGATATGAAGATGGAGATGGAGATGGAGATGGAGAGAGGTGGACACAGAGAGAATACGAATATTCAATTCATTAAGCTGTGGAGAACATGGGGAGTAAATAACATTTAAGCATGTTGGCACAAGAGCATTCTTGTGCCAACATGCTTCATTTGAAAATTGCTTCCTATTAGTTATTAAATCTGAATATTGTTCAGAAACCCTTAGACGGAGAGAAATCCTATTTGTATGTCAAACTGTTCAGCCTCTTCAGCCAAATTAATAAAAGTTAAACTAATCGTTTTTAACTTTCCATTTTTCTCTTCTCTTGCTCTCTAATTCACTATGGCAGCGGTCGACAAACTCATTAGTCAACAGAGCCAAACATCAACAGTACAACGATTAAAATTTATTTTGAGAGCCAAATTTTTAAAATTTAAATTTCTTCTAACGCCACTTCTTCAAAATAGACTCACCCAGGCCGTGGTATTTTGTGGAAGAGCCACATTCAAGGGGCCAAAGTACTGCATGTGGCTCGAGAGCCACGGTTTGCCAACCACTGCACTATGGTAAGGCCTATACACTTTTTGGGCTGTAACAAGTAGACTCAGTATTCTCCTACCAATAAATGCTCATAAAAACAAACCTAAAAAGTGGTAAAATATTAAATACCATCAAGTATTAAGTGTATTCATTATGTGCATTTCATATGATGTAATGTCAGAATAAAAAAATAAAAAATAAAAATATATGTGAAATGCATGTATGAACATCAATAAAGAAGATAAAGAAATATGGAATCGTAGGATTATGAATGTCCTTTAAGGATTATTTTTCTTTGAAGTAAAATAACTTTATTAAAAATAAAACTAAAAATAAAAACATATTAAGAAAGACCACTGGTTTTTGCTTTCATGCTTGATGTGTTATCGTTAGTTGTAATTGAATTTACTTAGAAAATATGAAGAATAAATAAAACATCATAAATGTCAGGAAACATTACAAGATAACTAAGCTACTGATTCATTTTTTTAAAATATATTTTATTGATTCTTTACAGAGAGGAGGGGAGAGAGATAGAGAGCCAGAAACGTCGATGAGAAACATCCACCAGCCGCCTCCTGCACACCCCCCACTGGGGATGTGCCCACAGCCAATGTACATGCTCTTGACCGGAATCGAACCTGGGACCTTTCAGTCCGCAGACCATGCTCTACCACTGAGCCAAATCGGCTTCAGCTACTGATTCATTTTAATATTTAAAGTTTACTCATTTGGATTTTAATATCTAGCAATTTGTTAACTACAGCATAGTGACCAGAAGGACAGTTGAAGTTAGTCAATGCTTTTTTCTTTATTGCATATGCAACCTTTGATGCTCTTCTTTACAGCATACTTACATGCTTTCCACAGATAGAGAAAAACCTAAAGACAATCACGCATGCGCCCATCATGTAGGTATATGCATTCTGAAATTTAAACAGAAGAGAGCCTCTCATAATTTGCACAAAAGCTCTTGTTACGATTCCCTTTTTCATTTTGGGTCTTCTGTGAAGTCTACTGAATAATTAGCTTAATAAAATGTAAAAAATATCATAAGAAATTTATCTTAAAAATGTGCTGAAAAGGTCACTGCCAAAACTCATGAATAAATATTAACTATAAAATTAAACCTTAAATTAAATTTTGGTCTCTGTTTTGCTCAGCTGAACTCTGTATTTTAAAACTTATTTTTACATAAAATAATGGCCAGTTTCTTTGAGGAGCAAGAACAACTGAGGATAACAATGCAAGACAAGGAAGTCAAATGAGACAGGAGGTAAAGGAATCCTGGCAGATGTAGCTCGGTATTGGAAAAGATTGCTGGAGGTCAGATTCCTTCTCTCTGAAGGCTTCTGGAGACATCTGGAGACCAGCCGGCCATGCCACATGTCCATTAGTCTAAGATGATTTCAGAGATGTCCTCCTTGCTCAAAAATACACTTAGTACATGATCAAGAGATGACTTGGTGTGCTTTATGACTAAGAAAGCTTAATCTGAGAAACAAAGATCCCACTGACTGTAACTGCAATAATAACTGTGGCATTAAGCTGATGCCAAAACGTGATTTTTTCTTGAGGTTCCTTGGCTAGGCAGATGACAAGTCACAGATGGGCACCTGGGAAGGGGGTCCAGTGAGATACTTGGTGTGAATGTGTCTGCACAGAATCATCTTTGGATGGGAATAAGAACTGTGTCTTCCTTCACAATAGTCCACTGCACAATAGAGTGGAGGATTGTTGCAGAAGACCGGAGAAAAACCAAGCAATGCTTAGAGAAATGTAGTCACTCTTTATTATTATAACATGCGGGCCCAGAGAAAAATGCCTTTCAAATTCTAGGCAAAGACACACAGGAAGTTTCCTGTATTTAAATCTTTTGAGCTTCTTTGTCTCCCAAATAAGGGTTTTTCCAGTCTCCTTTGCAAGTTCTTAAAGAGCCCTATATGCTGGGGCTCTGAGACCTCAACCAAAGACCTGGCCTAGTGCCAGCACTGATAACTTTGTCCAGGGAAGGTTTATGGCCTCTCTGGAATGGGAGTAGTCTTATTTTCCTTATTATTTAAGCAAGCAAACATTTACAGGAGCCAAAATAGCATGGTTAAAATTTCAAACAGCAGTTTTTAGGTAAGATGAATGCTTCAGTATGAGCATGCTTCCAGAACCAGAGGATCTTGGGGAAGAACAAAAGCAGTGGGGGAGAATAGGCAACCCGGGTCTTTTGGCGTGAGAGCTCATCTCTGGGGGCATCTAAAATTAGGAAGCTTACTCTGTTCTTTTGCTTGGACTGAGTAGCCTTTAATTGAAATTTGGAGATATATAAAAACCTGAGCCTTGTTACCCCTTTTCTCCATGTGGGCACTTACTTGCTTTACACTCTGGAAGGGATAACACCCAACAGCTTCTAGGATGATGACCCAAAACGTTCATTGACTATAAGATCCTGAGAGGTCTGACACCTTCTTAACCACGCAGATCTTTGTACCTAATTCCCTTTGCTTCTCTCTAGTAGTGCTGTCTATTTCACTGCATCCTTCCATTCTAGAACATCCTGAAATAGTCTCTCCTCCTCCTCCAGACTGATCCCAATTATCACTCTCTCAGGATGACTTCCAGGACCTCCCCGGTAAAGCCATCTACTATTATGTGTTGTCACAGCAACTTTGTCTTTCCTCCATCTCCTCTCCATAGCTGTAATTCTCACAGACTTGGGAGAATTCAATGGATGCCTACCTAACTTTCCAGGATGTGTGGGAAATGAAAGCAATCACTGTCTTTGTTTTACTTATTACATTCTTCTCAGTTCCTAGCACTGTGACTTGCACACCTGTGGTACTCAAACCCATTTATTGTTTGAGGAAATGAATCAGGGGGACTGAGAGCCCACCTGGGCTTGGCACAGCCCCTGACTCTGAAGTTAATAACTGTCTTAAAAAGGACACTCAATATCTTCCTGAGCACAGCAATTACATACTAAAACTGGGCCTTTGTGCTGTGTAAATGGGCTCTGCGTGCTACGGATCTTTTCCAGAGGATGAGAGAATGAAGAGAAGAGAACAGCGGGAAATGGGTAATAGTATTTTTGGGTGGGATCAAGGAAGACTAAAAAAAGGAAGGTATCTATCTAATTATCTATCTATCTATCTATCTATCTATCTATCTATCTATCTATATAAAAGCCAGTGCCTAGAAAACTGGTTGCTATGACACCCACTGTGACCAGCAAACTGGCCAACCTCCTGTGGTACCTCCCCCTGGCCGACCCTGCCCTTGATTGCCTCTCACCTCAATAGGGTTTTGGCTGGCCCACTGCTCACAGCCCATCCCATAGCCAGTCCCACCCCCAATCAGTCCCCACCACCCCATTGGTCTGTGGCCCCTCCCCCCAGCAAGCTCCACCCCCTATCACTCCCCCACCCCAAACAATCAGGGGTGGAACTGGCTGACCAACCTTCCATAGCCCCTCACCCAGCTGCTGACTCCCAATTAGCCCTGCTATCCCATTCGGGGGTGGGGCTAGCTAGCCCACCGCCCACAGTCCCTTCCCATGGCCAGCCCTGCCCCTAATAGGCCCTCCCACCCCAATCGGAGGTGGGGCTTGCTGGCCAATCACTTGTGGCCCCTTCCCCCAGCTGGCTTAACCAGGATGGGCCCCGATTGGAGAAGGCCAGCTGGCCAACCTCCCACCATTTCCTCCCAATAGGCCTGGCCCTGATCCACCCTGATTGGGATAGGGCTGGCCGGACCCCACCATGCACAAATTCATGCACTGGGCAACTAGTTTATAATAATGTGTTATGGTTTATTTAATCCTAACAATTTGAAAAAGTTCACATTCTTTGGTCTTCATAATGCTCATATAAAAGATGTAGATTATGAAATTATATTCCTAGTTCAGAACAGGAAACAAAAGACCACTGAAGACAAATAACTTGATCAAGGCTGAGAAATGATGGAGCCTAGACTAGAACTTCGGGGTATCCAACATGGTAACCACTCCCACATGCTCTTATTGAGCATCTGAAATGCAGTAAATATAAATTAGGACATGCTGTAAATGCAAAATTCACATTCAAAGATTTAGTACAAAAGAGAGCATGCAACATCTCTCCTTCATAATTTTTTTAACTTTTAAAAATATGACTTTATTGATTATAGAAAGAGGAAGGAAGAGGGGCAGAGAGATAGAACCATCAATTGCTGCCTTCTGCACACTCCCTATCAGGAATTGAACCCGTAACCTGGACATGTGCCCTCATTGAGAATCGAACTGGTTACCTCTTGGTTCATGGGTCAATGCTCAACCACTGAACCACACCAGCCAGGCCAAAATTTTTTTTTTTTTATATTGCTGAAATGTTGAAATGATAATATAAGGTGGGACAAAAGTAGGTTTACAGTTGTGAGTATGCAAAACACATAATTTATTCTTGTACTATTACTTATTAATTATTGTATTATTTTCCATATGAACAACTGTAAACCTACTTTTGCCCCACCCTATATTTTGGATTTAGTAGGTTTAAAATACATAATTAAATTGATGTTACTTGTTGTTTTTTTCTCCATATTTTAAATGTGGCTCCTAGAAAATCTAAAATTATACTCATGGCCACATTTTATTTCTATGGGACAACTATAAAATTTTCAACTGAAATAAACAATTTACACCTACCAGGAGGGCAAAGTGAAGTACCACCCAGACAATGCCGAGTGAGGTTACCAACAGGTCATATCGATTCCTTCTGCTTTGCCAGAAGCCTGCGGGTGACATTGCTATGATCTTCATTGTAACCTGAGTAAAGAGAGTAAATCGAGACTGTTTAGTACATATTTAAGTGTATTAACCCGAGACACACTATTTTTTTTTTTTTAAAAGGTAGCAACCCAAGAGACAAATTTATCACATATATAAAAAAGCTGACTAGGTAACACATATATATATATATTCTCCACACTCCTTTCTTCTTGTTTTATGACTAGTTTGATAGCAGGACGTTTTTCTTCCCCAAGTGGAAGACCATAGATTTTGGGAAACATCAACCAGTTCAGGGTGAAATAAGAATCTGCTAGTATTTCAAAGAGATTGCTGGAAGAAGAAGAATATTCCTGGAAAGTAATACGATATGGACCATATATTAAAATAATCTTGTCTGGGTCAACTCCCTGTACCCCACTTTGCAATTGGAGGCCCTGAATTACAGTGGTCTCTTTAGAGTTTGCCCTAAATATTTGAACTCAGATAACTAGACAGGCCATCATTCTGATACATAAATTAACTGCAGTTTGCAATTCCTGTGGTTAGAAAATTCCAAAATCCAAAGTGAAGTCTTTGTTCAAGTTAAACTGAACAGATTCAAAAGGAAATACCCTAAGAGCCCACTATCCCCCTAAAAATTAAAAAAAAAAAAAAGAAGAAAGAAAAAACAGAAAGACTTCAAAAGCAATGGAGCACAGAGTTGAAATAAGGACCATCAAAGGAGGATACTATCTTACTTTAAAATGTGCACTGCCCCCCTCTTCCCCATCCTCCAAACCCACGGACTCATTACGGTACCTCAAGGACAAAGATGAAGGTGAAAACAACTGACATCGTTGCCAAAGGAACAGTTACTGGGTCCTCGACGTCCCACTGTATAGGAAACAGCACACATGTCTTTGCCTAAATCCGTCTGGCATTGGGCACAAAAAAACAAACAAAACAACCCTGTCCCCTCTCCCTCCCATGTGAACACAATTGTGAATTTTAAACATTTTTATCCTAAAGAGCGCAGATCGTAGTAAGTATGGCCGTTTGCTATATCCTTGGATGCACCCATGAGTAAAAAATTCATCCCCAGAGTCCAAAGGTGAAACAAAGTACCTTGACAGAGAGCAGTACCGACTGGGCCAGGACCAGTAAAGCGATTGTCCTCTTAAAAAACGGGTGCTGGGTGATGTCATACATCTTGGCTCTAAAGCCATCATTATCTGGGAAAAAAGAAAGGTTCAGGCAAGGGCATTTTAGACCTGAGTCACATTTTACTTCCTTGCATTTCATTTTTTTTTTAATGCTCACCATAAAATCCATCACATTTCCCCACCCCCACGGCTCAATCTATTGTGCAGTGTTTTTGCAGGAATGGCTGGCTCTGAATATTTAAAACCATGGTGCATGAAGCCATCCGTAGCAGAAGGAGAACCACATCATTCAATTTCTGTCAGCTTAATACATTTCACTCGTATGTTGAAAAGGCAAGCACAAATATTTTATTTAAAAATTCATTTTTTTTTTCATTAAGGCTTATCCCGAGAGCACTGAAGCACAGCCTTTGGGTGGTTGATTTTTAATAGCCTTTGGAGAGATCTGTGGCTTGGAGCCTGTTTCTATATTAACTTATGCACAACCACCTAGTGGCCTCACGATTATTATTTTAATTGAAATCTGAGACTCCTGGGGAATCATGAACACTAGTGCCCAACATGAATAAAATCAGAGCATCTTTGATACCCGGGCGAGGTGGGAGATGAAGAGGCTGAGCTATCTTCAGTCGGCTCTTCAGATCTTCCCATCTTCTCTGATCTACAGTCAGCAGAGCCGTCCCCTTAATAAACAAAGAAGAGCAGAAAAAAGGCCTTTGTCATGTACTCCAACGCCAAGGACATTGCACATGGGGTGGTGATACAAACAGGACTAATTTGGGGGTTTAAAATAAATAAATTCTTCAAATCCTATGGTGGTTTGATAAACAGGGTCAGAATTCTCATACTTGGTCTTGAGAGGGATGGCCAAAAGGGATGGCCACAGGCTTCGAAGCAGACCTTCAATGGACATCTTTGAACGTTTCCCGGGTTTGGGGAAATCTAAAGGAGGTTTTCTGCATGATTAAATTTTCAAAAAGGGGATCCTCACTCTAACAGTGATTAGTTTCCTTTCATTTCATAGCAGAAAATGCTGCAGCAAAATTATAGCTTGTCAATGCGCCTGCTTCTGGATAAGTGTATTTTGCCTTAAACATGATTTTGAAAATCATTCTGATATGTGCAATTGCAAAATTATTTTTAAGTGGTATGAAGCCATAGAATTTGGATCTTTAAGAAATTACTATGACAACTGGCTAAATGAGATTTGGTATGAATAATTTTATCATAGAGTACTTCATTAAAATGCACATATATATGTTACATTTTATTAGAATATAGTATTTGAAGTATAATTTAAGAAACCAGGGGAAAAAATACCCATTCTTCCTTTCTTTCTCCAGAGCTCAGGAACTATTCAGAGATATCTCCTCAATAGGTATGACTCAATACATAAAAATGTATTTGTCTTGAATTTTAAAAATTTATATAATTGATATTTAATATGTGCTTATCTGTACAATTTGTTTTTACCTTCATTGAACAATATTTGTTATACAACTAGATACTTGATCTAACTGGTTTATTTTAACTGTTCATAGATATGCCATTGTACAAATATATCAGAAATTACTCATTTACAGTTTACAGACTATAAACAATGCTGCTATAGACACAAATGTACTATCCTACCTAATAAAAGAGTAATATGCAAATTAACCATCACTCCACTCACAAGCCACACCCACGAACCACACCCACCAGCCAATCAGAGCACATATGCAAATCAACCACAACCAACATGGCTGCGGCCACAGAGACTTGGGTTTCTCTGGCAACTGAAGAAGTCAAGCCTTCTGCCTGCCTTATTTATTTATTTATTTATTTATTTATTTTTATTAAGTCTTGTTTTTATCATTTAGACAAAATGTGCCATTTATCATTCAACAACTTTTCGTTTTAATGTAACCTAAGTTATAATTTTTTCTTTATGAATTCCACTTTGTGGTTAATGTTAAGAAATCCATGTAAAATATTGCCGAGACCGGTTTGTCTCAATGGATAGAGAGTCGGCTTGGGGACTGAAGGGTCCCGGGTTCAATTCTGGTCAAGGGCATGTACCTTGGTTGCGGGCATAACCCTAGTAGGGGGTGTGCAAGAGGCAGCTGATCGATGACTCTCTCTCATCGATGTTTCTAACTCTCTATCTCTCTCCCTTCCTCTCTGTACAAAATCAATAAAATATATTTTTTTTAAAAAGAAATCCATGTAAAATATAAATTCTACATTGTTTAAAAATGGTTTATATTTTTGCTATTCATAGTTAGGTCATTCATTCACCTGGAGCTCATTTTTGAGTAGGCTATGAGGTAGAGTTTATTTTCTTCATCTATGACAATTATTCTAGTTTCACTTATTAATGCTCTCATCTCCTCTGATTTGTTGTGTTAATTCTATGTTAATATACATGGGTATCTCCTGGGCTTTCCATTCTGTACTGTAAGTCTAACTTCTATTCCTGTAACAATACTGGCATAGCTTTACTAACTATAAGCTTGTTTACTTTCCTTTTCCACATTTTTGCTGATGCTGAACTATGCAAAAGGTTTTCCTCTTTTTTTTTTTTTTTTTTTTTTTTAAAGAATCTGCTTTTATCATTCTTGGGCCTTTGTATAGTTGTTTTTCTATATCTTTATTACTCCCTTCCTCCTACATTCTTCAATTTTACTGTTATTTTTATTGCAACATTAATTTTAATATTTGACATGTTAATAATTAATAAATTATTTAGAATGTTGTCTTAATACTTCCAAATTCTGAATTTTTTTGCTATATATTTTTTTGTTATGGTAGAGAACCTGTTCTATACGTTATCAATTTTTTTACAATTATTATTTTATGACTTTGTAGAGGATAATTTTGTACTTGAAAATTGTGGGGGACAGTGTTCTTTATATTTCAGCAGATTACATGATTTTATTGTGTCAAATTTCATATAGTCTTTCTCTTTTCCTGCTGATTTATGAAATTATTAGAGAAATATGTTAATATATATTACCATAACTTTGGATTTTATAGCTTCTTAAAATAATTTGATTAGTTTTATAAAATGTTTTTATTGATTTTAGAGAGAGAAGAAGGGAGAGAAAGAGAAAGAGGGAATCATCCATGTTGAAGAGAAACATCGATTGGCTGCCTCCTGCATGCCCAGTACTGGGGATCATGCCTGCAACCCAGACATGTGCCCTGATTGGGAATTGAACCAGTGACCTTTAGTCCATGGGATGATGCTCAACTAACTGAGTTATACCAGCCAAGGCTAATTAATTTTATTTTCATATGTTTTAAGGAGTCTTTTATTTTTTCTGGGGATTTAATTTCTTTTGAAATTATTTAATTACACTGTTTATTCCTAATAATAACATTTTATTTAAATTTTTTCTGATATAAAAATTGCTAAATCACTTTTCTCATTAACTGCAAATAAATACTTGTTTTGGGGATGCTATACACATTCATACTATTCCTTTATTATACAAAGCAAGATATTTTGGAAAGCTGAACTCTGAGATGATCCAAAAGAATAATAGACATGGTGATATCATCTAATCATTAATGTAATAACCTCTAAAAGTGCATTGTTATTAAGTGTATTAATCAAACTTATTGTCTTATACTAGGGACATTTAAAAAATATACATGTTATTGTTACAGATTTTGAACTTTTAAAACAGTGTTCTATTTTCTAGGGAAGACATACTATTGCATGATGATGAATTGTTAAAACTTAACCCGCAAAGCTTACCTTATTTTCCATATCTCTCTCTCTTTTTTTTAATCCTCACCCAAGGATATGTTTTTATTGATTTTAGAGAGAGAGGAAGGGAGATAGAAGTATTGACTTGAGAGAGAAACATTGATTGGTTGCCTCCCTGACCCACAACCTAGGTACGTACCCTGACTGGGAATCAAACCCACAACCTTTTGGTGTATGAACCATCACTTCTGACCAGGGCTCCCATATCTTTAGTTCTCTCTGTTGCCTATACATTTGGAAATCTATTTATATACTTTCAGGAATAACCATTAGAATGTGAGCTCCATGAGGGCAGAAATCTTCATATGCTTAGTGTTTATGGGTTAGCGTCTTATGCTCTCAGGATCAAAGCAGATTGGGGCACCTAGTAAATGCTCAAAGAAGTCTGTTGAATGATCTGTAATAATAAAAGCATAATATGCTAATTAGACTGGACAGCCAGATGACCTTCCGGATGAAGCCGGAGCTATGAGGGCCGAGCTCCTTGCACGAATTTTGTGTATCAGGCCTCTAGTTGAATAACAAATGAACAAGTTTTGTTACATAGCAGCTAAACTGCTGCCATGAACAACACTTGCAGAAAAAAATCTTTTCTAAAATGTTCGGATAATTTATTGTAGAAATCTGTAATTGAGAAAGTTGTACATCTATGAACTCCTATTCATAGATGCGCTATTCAAGTTTGTAATGTCTGGTGATAGGATTTCTTTTCCTTTACCTCTTTCTCTAAGCACACATTTGAGCTCCCATGCTCCCCTTTCTCAGGCAGAGAAGTTCCTTTCTTCCTTCAGAATAGAAATACAACTGGTGTTGGGGGTAGGCCTGTGATTCTGCTTACTTCACACACTCTCTGAGTTCAAGAACTACACTGTCTCCGGTTAATTCAAAATTTTATGTCATTTCACGTATGCTGCTGAATTGTGAGCTGCCATAGGACCTAATTCTTCTGAAATTAGGTGTCTGCTCAGAGGGCCTTGGATGGTGTTCTGAGCAAGCAGAGCTTAAACTGTCTTAATTGACTGATTAGCTTCTGCTCCTATTCCAGAATTCCCAGTGTCTGCTCCATCACATGCCTCAAAGGCATCTGAAAACACCCATTTTCCTCTTTGTGCCTGGAATTACACTGAACACACGGTAGGGCTGAAAGAAACTCATTTATGAATGTGTTAAATAGGGGGGCTGGGCGATGTGCTCTCTATCCTTCTTACTTACTCTAACATTCCAGGTTTCTGTGGGGTAGTGCAGTGTTGGGATCCAAAGGGGGGATCTTTAAATTGAACTCTTTGAAAGTCTGAATACAATGACATCCTCATTCGGCACACATCAAAGGCGCCCATTGGCTGACTGACTGGCATCTCACGCGTGGAGCCTGAGCGTGAGTGACAGGGTCCCAGGTGTAGCTGCACAAACCAGAGCTCTGATGTGAGTGCGTTCGAATCAGTCCTCCCTGTGAATGACACAGTGCAACGCGGAGCTGGGCAGGGATATCTAGCTTTTCACTCAGCACAGAACGACAGTCGACATTTTCATGCACTTGAATTGGGAGAATCGCAGACTCCTGCAGCAATAGGCACTACTTCTGAATCCTGGCCCCATTTTCTACTCCTTATTTTGTGCTGTCTTCTCTTCAACTGGGCATTTCCTAGTTGAGAACTGAGAATAGCATATCTAAACCTTAGTGAATAGGAAGTGCTTAGAAACTGCATGTGTCTCCATTATTATGGTATCAGAAAACTGACCTTGACACAACAGGGGGCATGTCAACCATGTCCAGAAACCAACATAGAATGAGTCTCCTCAAACTCCTGTGTTTTTGGCAGGAAACTCCACGTGCTCTTTTCCTATTTGTTGAGCTCTTTATTGATCATTCAAGCTGTTATGAACTCAGCTCCCCAACTTCATAAAGCATACAAAGCTTTTATGTTATTTTAAATATATTTTTATTAATTTCAGAGAGGAAGGGAGAAGGGAGAGACAGATAGAAACATCAATGATGAGAGAGAATCATTGATTGACTGCCTACTGCACACCCCTTATTGGGATCAAGCCTGCAACCTGGGATATGCCTTTGACCATAATCAAACTTAAGACCCTTCAGTCTGCAGGCCAATGCTCTATCCACTGAGCCAAACCAGCTAGGGGGGCACGCAAAGATTTTACATTAAGTTAGAAAATCTTTTTATCCTACGAACTAAGATTTTAAAACTTGTACCGTGCCCTCCTCCCCATCCCATCAAAATACAACTGATGTTAGAAGTAACTCACCTACTGAGTTACTAAGAAGCATCTAACTTACATTAGTGAGAGCAGTATTGCCTGCAATCCCTGCATCAGCTTCAGCTATTGTACTTTAATAACTTGTTGCACATCCTTTCAATTTGAACAATAGGAGATGCGCCTTTCAGTGTCATGAATGAATGACAGTGTCACCAAAAGAGGAAATTTAGCAAGAGAGTTGTGCTTTTAAATAACGTGCCTAAAAGGCAGCAATGATGTTACTTGTGAAATAGTTACAGACATTATTCACACCAGTCACATTACAGTTTAATGTGACATCATGCTGTGTGTGAAAAAGAGACAGAGAGGGGGGAGGGGGCTTAGAGTGAGTGGCTGGAAAAGAATAAACTCCGTCTTACACCAAGAATTCTTACCTTGTTTTCATTGAAATTAGCAATAACTACTCCAACAAAAAGGGTCAGTCCAATCATGCAACCCAGGAATACAAAAACATGAATATAGATTCCATGCATCTGTATAAATGAAAAATATGGTTATTCATCAAAGCAAGTGAAAGCAGCTGTTGAAAGGCTTGTGTTCAAAGGATTCCACAGGCTTGCTTACCGGCCCCACACGATGAATAATAACATCCCTCACTTCCACCCAGCCTTTCAAGGAGAGGACCTCAAACAATGCCAGCATAGCATTTCCAACATTGTCAAAATTAAAGTTCCGAGGATTCGCCCTGAAAGTCAGAAAAAGGAATGTTCTGTGAAATTCCAATAAGAAACATCCTAAGGCAAATACTGTGGCTCTTTCCAATCTTGGGTGCAGAGTGATGTTTAGTGCTTGGAAGGTGAGCTATATAGGATTCTTTTGCTAAGTCATAATGCTGTGTGTTGTAGATTATTAATATAATTGTGTAATTAATTATTAGGTAATTATGGCGTACTCTCAGTTGAAGACAACAAAATGCTACACAACTTTGAGTTCTAGCTCCAGAGGATCAGGCTTGTTCTGATTATACTGAGGACTGGAATACCGTTCCAGTTAGAAACTGCATAGGAGATTTTCAAAGGGGCATTGGAGAATGGGTAGGAATTTTGAAATTGTTTTGTTTTAAATATATTTTATTGATTTTTTTATAGAGAGGAAGAGAGAGGGATAGAGAGTTAGAAACATCGATGAGAAAGAATCATGGATCAGCTGCCTCTTGCACAACCCCTACTGGGGATGTGCCCGCAACCAACTTACATGCCCTTGACCGGAATCGAACCTTGGACCTTTGGGTTGGCAGGCCGACGCTCTATCCATTGAGCTAAACCAGTTTCGGCTGAAATTGATTTTAAATTGGAAATCTTTCTAATGGCTTAAATTACAATTCAGAAAATGTAAAAAAGAGTTGGAATTTGGCCACTTTTATTTCGTTCTGTGTCCTCAAGTGAACATCATCACACTGTGAAGTAGTGACAGATCACTGAGAAGACATGGTGTGTTTGCTCATAGCCGCTGTTTCTAGATCACTCTCTCCCACTTGGATTTTTTTCTCTCTCACAAATGCTGATGTTCTCAACGGATACTTCCTGTGTTCCCAGTGCACAGTATGCTGCTACACCCACAGCACATTCCCGATTTCAAAACATTGTGGCCTCACTACATTTTTCGGGGGGGGGGGGGGGGGGGATGTCTTATTTCTTGTTTTTCTGACATGTTTTATACTTTTTTTTCCTTTGCAGTTACAAAAGTGATCTTTTCTACTCTATTACATTTCCCTTAGTCATTACAGGTCTGAGCTACCATTTTTGTTGCTCATAGAAAATTGAAGAGTTTTTTTCTATTTTCCCCTTTCCAGAGGCTATTGTAAGTAGCCGAAAGATTTAGAACATTGGTCGGCAAACTCATCAGTCAACAGAGCCAAATATCAACAGTACAACGATTGAAATTTCTTTTGAGAGCCAAGTTTTTAAAACTTAAACTTCTTCTAACACCACTTCTTCAAAATAGACTCGCCAAGGCTGTGGCATTTTGTGGAAGAGCCACGCTCAAGGGGCCAAAGAGCCGCATGTGGCTCGCGAGCCACAGTTTGCCGACCACAAATTTAGACAACCACACACTGAAAAATCAGGACTATCACTACATTTCTTGAATTTGATGGAGAATTGAGCTCAGGATTATTGAAGAGAGTAGGCCTACTGAAGTTTACTTAAATTATATTTTGATATTTTTTCCCCCTGCTAGCTAATTTATCAAAATGTAACTCTCACAAAAGAGCAATCTGGTTGAGCATTTTTGTACCACCATTATTTTTTTAAAGTGACAGAACAATCATGGGATGTATCCTTGTAAGTTCTTTTTTAAATACCAAATAGATGGGAATCTAATAAGAAAATATAAAACTGAAACTGACTTGCTCCTAAAGGTTTAAGGCTATTTGGTAGAAAATGTTTTCTATATAGTGCAAGAGCACTACTCACAAATTCTATTCTAAGATTCTGATTTATATTTTTAGTATGAAGTTAAAAACATATTCTCTTGGATTTTTCCAACAACTTTTCCTTTGGGAGTTTCAATTTCATGTAATATATTTTAGAGGAGGCAGAAACTGTAAGGATTCTACAAATGCCACCATTTTCTCAAATAAAGATTTTTTAAACCAACTGAGCCAGTTCTCAGATCTGATGTTAAACTTTCTTCCTCATCCATCCACCCCACACAGTGATATTTACTTATTTGTTTGTTTGCTTATTTATTTATCAGTTGAATTTATTGGGCTGACATTCGTTAATGAAATTATACAGGTTTCAGGTACACAATTCTATAATCTATCGTCTGTACACTGTTTTGTGTGTTTAGCCCTCAAGTCAAGTGTTCTTTCCCACCATTAATCCCTCCTTTACCTTCTTCTACCTCCTCCACCCCCTTTCCTCTGTAAAGTGGTGTTTCGTTTTGTTTTAGCTGAATTTGCAGCAATCAAAACTACTTTTAAAAGTAGAGTGTGTTAAAAATAGACTTTTAGGTTAAACCAAGAAAAAGAAAACAGAAGATCATAGACTTAAATAGTTGGAAGAATATATCACATTTAAAAGATAAGAAAAATAAGTATTTCTCAGCTTTAGTCATTTAAAATATTTGTATATGCTTTGTTCAGGTATTTAAAATGGGAAAGATTAAAACTTTACCTACAACCACAGAGGACTTCAATAAATCCTAGTCTTCATCCATTACTGTCATTATACCTGTAGCTCTTCCTTGATTTGGAAGGTTGTTTGAATATCATCTTTCCGGGTTAACTTTTAAAGATTACAATCTTATTTATCTAAAAAAATATATTTTATTGATTTTTTACAGAGAGGAGGAGAGAGGGATAGAGAGCTAGAAACATCGATGAGAGAGAATCATCGATTGGCTGCTTCTTGCACACCTCCCACTGGAGATGTGCCCGCAACCAAGGTATTGTACATGCCCTTGACTGGAATTGAACCTGGGACCTTTCAGTCCCCAGGCTGACGCTCTATCCACTGAGCCAAACTGGTTTTGGCACAATCTTATTTATCTAATTCAGAAAACTAGGACATTGGTTCTGACCTCACAATTTGGTCAATCTTTTACCTTCCAATGAAAAGTGCCCCAAGGTTCCCAAGATCATGATAAGGAGAATTTCCCTTCTCTGGGAAGATGGGACATGATGGGGGAAGAAACTTAGCTTCTACCCTCGGGTGTGAAAATAGAGAGGGTGACCTTATCCTAAATGGCCCCCTATGTCTTACAACTCTGCAATCTAGTCTAAAAAGTCAGAACCTTCTTGTATGTTCTAGAATATACTGATTTATTTATTTATTTATTTATTTATTTATTTATTTATTTATTTATTTATTTTGCCTGACATTTTGGCAATAGCAATTTAAGTTTCCTCAGTTTGATACACCTAACCTCGGCTGAGCCCCTCCAGATCACCTGTCCATGACTCTTCCTCTTTTCAGCAGCCTAATGCCTATTCGTCCTTCAAAAGTTAACTGAGTGTCTTCTCCTCTGGGTCCTTCACCCTGGTCCCGTTATAGTTGGGTACGGTGCTTCTCCTGTGTGTGCCACTGCACCCTTTGCCTACGGTATCCTATCCTGGCCAATATACCAGGAAGCTACGGAAACGTACACCTCCAGCCTTTCCCTGGACAGGTATCTTCCAATATTCTGGAAGGGGCCCAGCAGTGAGTTCACATGGTCCTATGTTTTTATTAAACTTACAAGAATAAGGTAGTTTTATATTCTTTTTCTTAAAGAATGTTCACAAATTGTTTGTGCCATATGGATTCTACAAAAATTTGATCTTCTGCCTAAACTGTATGACAGTGTAACTTAAAATTACCTAGAGGTAAGCTTTCAGGTGAGCTTAGGGGCTTATTTATGTAGCACCAAAGCCCTTAGCATATTATAGTAAATTACTTATAATTTTCTTTTCTGTTCTCCACTAGACTTCAAGGTCCTGGGGGTCAGGGACCATAGCTTGTCCTCAGTGATGCCATAATATCTGGTGAATAGTAAGAACTTAATAAATGCACTTATTATGAAACTGAGTACTTTGTTGATTTTTCTCTCATAAATTACAGTTTGCTATATCAAAGACTTCTGATGAAAATAAAATACACAGTATTTAAATATATGGTATGTTTAATCCTTTTTAGCAATGTAATTTTTATCTCATCAAGTCTGAGTGGATCCAAAGGAAATGAATGTATTCATCTGAAGAGAAAATACAGAAACCAGACTATCTCCTGAATTAGATAGTGCATATTGATGTCCTAATTATAATTATCAAAGTATTCCTCTAGGCCAATTTCCAGATAAAAGTTATTTTCTTAATCCTAAATTAGTCAATACAAAATTACAAAATTTTCAGCTGTTAATTCTTGGTGAACTTATTAAAGAAGAAAAATGTAAAAATTAGCTGGTTACAGCTAACATTTATTTGATGGAAGATTTCGTTGTCCCTAAAATTAATCCAAGTCACAATTTTACAAACAAATGGATGATGTTCAAATGATACCTCTTTACCATTTATGCTTTTAAAGTGTCATTGAACTTGAAACCCCTAATAAGTTACATAAGACATTCCATTTCAATTAACTCTGACTTTAAAAAATCATAGGCAGACAATTTTATGAAACAGAGTTGAATAACATAGGGCACAATTGGAAAAAAAAAAAAACTTTGCTTTTCTCCCAATACTGCTTTGTAGTATGTCCTAGCTCCCTTCCTGACATTTTGGGGAGGGGATCAGCCTCATCCTAAAAAGTCCACTCAGTTTTACATCCAACCTTGGCTGTCTTAACCTTGTGCAAGGATCCCAACCTCAGCAGCTCAGCCTGATCAGTGATTTGAGGAGGGAAGAAGAGCGTTCACTCCTCCTCTTCAGGTTGCCATCTGGTTCTTATAAGACTGGAGTTAGAGAAATGGAGTGGGAGGCTGTGTATTTTATGCTACTATACTCTGGCCATTGGCGCTCTTGTCACAGCAGCTGTTATTCTTTATCTTGTGCATTTATGTGTTCCTCAGAAACTCTGTTATATTAACCATGTTTCTAGCTCCTGTAAACATGACCCTTTACCATCTGCCCTACATACATAGGCAGGACACACTTTGTTTTGGACAATCTGATAAAACACCCGAGTCATCCTGCCTCCCTCAACACCCTCTTTCCAACTTTGGGAGGAGTCCTTTCTAGGGCTTTAGCCAAAATTCCAAAACAGTAGGAAAAAAAAAAATCCCATTTGATGTACTGGTTTAAATAAATTATTTATGGTATAATAATTAGTTTTCATCTCACAAAAAATGTTTTATGCTTCCTTAATTTTTTATTTTAATGTAAATGAGACTGATTTTCTAGTTAGCACTGGGATAAGGATAGTTATATATATATATATATATATATATATATATATATGATGCCATATGATGGCAGCACCCAGTCCCTTCAGCCCCGCTGGGGCAGCAGGCATGCGGTTGGGCCCTGGGGGCGGGCCTGGCCACCCTGTGTGCCTGCCTCCGGAGTCCCACAGTCTCCTCAGCCCCCCAGCTTCCCAGGGCCAGCCCAAGGCACAGGAAAACCTCAGATGTTGGCTGCACAGCTGCCAAGGGCTGGCCCGAGGTGCAGGCAAGCCTCAGATAACAGCCGACCAGCCAATATCTGAGGTGCAGGCAAGCCTCGGATGGAAGCTGCCCAGCTGACACCTGAGATACAGGCAAGCCTCGGATGTTGGCTACCAGCTACCCAGGGCCAGTCTGAGGTGCAGGCAAGCCTCGGATGGTGGCTACCCAGCCACCCAGGGCCACCCAAGGTAACCAGAGCAGGCTGAGGCTTGAGCTGCCAGCAGTGGCGGCAGCAGAGGTGTGATGGGGGCACTGCCTTCCCCAGATTGCTGGGTTGCCTCCCACCCCTGAGGTCTCTCAGACTGTGAGAGGGGGCAAGTCAGGTTGAGGGATCCCCCTCCAGTGCATGAATTTTCATGCACCAGGCCTCTAGTATACTATATATATGTTAATGAATCCACAAACCCAAAATTGATTTATTTTTAAATAACTCTTTTGTATTGAAAAACAACCCAATATAGATTGCATTGCATTGTTTATAAAAGTGAATTTAATTTAGAGAAATGCCAAATCTGTAACTATAAGTCCTAGGAGTACTAATGGGTGAAATGCTATTCCTTTTAAAGAGTTTGACATTTAGTTGATTGTGACAAAAGCAAAGTAGTTGCTGTTCTTAACTCATTATTCTAAAAGGTAAAATGAAACAAACAAACAAAAAAACAATAAAAAAATACAGGACAAATGCAGTTTATAGAACACTTAGTTCATACATGAAGCGGTCATCAATAAAATGGACTAGGCTCTTCCATCTTTGATGTAAATGCTTTGAAAAATTATTTCCAACGAAAGATAAATTGTGTTATTGATTATTCCTATCTAGAGTTTCAATGATGAAAATCCTTCACTATCAATGGGCTTTGAAATTGAAATAGCTTTATGATTTAGGTAGGCTTCTTCACAACCATAATAAGGACATCAGATCTTCCCTTAAAGATATACATTCAGGTGAGTTTAGTTTTAATTTGATTAAAATTTAAAATTAATTTTAAAAATTAAATTAAAATTTGACTAAAAATTGGATTGAAAAAATTTAATCTCACAAATATTGAAAACTTGTGAATCCAGATACAAACTTTTAAAATACTGGAAAAATATTGCAGTGATATTTTACTAGTTTCATGAAGCAACAGGGGACTCAGGATACTTATATTTACAGTAACTTATATCCTGTTGTAATTCATTGCTTTTCCTTGGAAGTACTTTCACATCTCTATCAGAGTTACTCTTAGTTTCATATCCTATTATACTGATTTAAAACCTTATGCTGACAAATATAGCCTTCTTAGGGATGTTTATTTCTGATATCTTACCAAACACGTGGCACCCAAAATCCAGGTTTTTTCTCTCCAGGTCTTAATTTTAAATTTAGGTTCTTGGACACACTTACATTAATTCTGAATATGCCATTGCAATCTTCCTAAAATAGAAAAAAAGAGAAAGAGAAATGAAGGAGGAAACTTCATCAGAAGAGGAACTCAAAAAAGACGAAAGATAATAAGTACATTTTACATAGAGTCACAAAGATCTTTGTTTGACAAAAGTGATATGGATAGCTAACCCCAAATAGTAACAAAGACTGCAGAGATGAGTGGTGAAAGTTGATGCTGAAAACATTAGTAAATGGGCAAGATATATGATTAAACATTCCTTCAAGGAAGATGTATAAATGGCCAGTGAGCACATGGAAAGATGCTCAGCATCATTAGCCATCAAGTAAATGAAAATCGAAATACAGTGAGATACCACTAATACCTGCTCAGAAGGCTATAATAAAAACAATTAACAACAAGCTTTGACAAAGATTTGCAGAATTGAAATCCTCATACTAGAACCTTCATACACCACTGGTGGGAATGCAAAATGGTGCAGCCATTTTAGAAAATAGTGTGGCAGTTTATCAAATGCCCAAACAAAGGGTTACCTAAAACCTAGAAATTCTACTTCTAGGTATCTATCTATTCAAGAGAAATAAAAACACGACAATAACAACAAAATACATACACATCAAAATTTATACATGGATGATTATGTCACTGTTATTATAAACTAGAGTCCCAGTGCATAAATGTGTACACCATTGGGGTCCCTCAGCCTGATTTGTGCCCTCTTGCAATCCGGGACCCTTCAGGGGATGTCAGGGAGCTGGTTTTGGCTCAGTTTCCAAAGGCCAGGTCTTTGAGGATCTCTTCCTAAAGTACATTTCTGGCCTGTTTTTCAGTTCATTTTGGCATGAGAGGGAAGTGAATGGGTGGGTCATGTTCTTTACATAAATTAACTCATTTAATCTTTATAATATCACTATGTGAGAAGTGCTACACAGGAGCAAAAGGTTCAGAGGGATTAAGCGATTAGAACAAGTAACCATTCCTACAATACATTCTGCCTTCTCTGCTTGGAAGAGTCTTTCCTGTTAGAATCCTCCCTCTCCTTAAAGCCTCTCAGCACAGCGCCCGCAGGCGGAAGCACTACTTCCCATACTTGAAAGACTGCACATTACTTTCACTTCTCATATGCTCTTTTGAATTATGACTTTATGTTACATGGGTTACACATGAAACACACATTCTGGTTGGACAGAAAATGCTGTGAAGCAGGGGCAGCGACTTACACATTTTCCAACCCTACTTTCATTAATCATGGTGCTTTGCACATAACTGATATTTAATAACTGAATGTCAAAAGATATTCTCAGAATTTGTTTACAGGGCTTTGGTGACTAAGTTCTGGGCTCCCTATCTCTACCTAAAGTGGTGCCAATATTTCTGCTGTCAAGTTTTAAGAAAAAGGAACTGAAGGAGGAAGTGTTTAGAGAGGCTTCCTAGAAAATAAAGCCATTCTCTCAATTGAAAACACAGCACTAACAGCTCTAAGCTTTCTTAACTTTAAACATTAGGTATATGACTCAAATACTGGGGTATTTGGTTTCCATTTCCCCTTCTTTTAAAAAGATACACTAAAGTTTCAAGGTAGACCTGGAGTTCCTTTCCTCCACCTGGTCTCCTTGGCCTTGGCCTCCTATATCAGGACTAGGAAAAACCTGTCCCAATTAAGGACCACATCTCACTATACCATTCCCCCCCCCCCCCCCCCCATCATTCTGCTGTCAATGATTGCTAAGTGTTCTTAGGCTTTCTTTTTTAAAAATATATTTTATTGATTTTTTTACAGAGAGGAAGAGAGAGGGATAGAGAGTTAGAAACATTGATGAGAGAGAATCATCGATCAGCTGCCTCTTGCACACCCCCTACTGGGGATATGCCCTCAACCAAAGTACATGCCTTGACCAGAATCGAACCTGGGACCCTTCAGTCCGCAGGCTGGCGCTCTATCCACCGAGCTAAACCAGTTTAGGCTTAGGCTTTCTTTATGAGCCCACTGCTGATGCCTCATTGCTCTGAGAAGAGGATAAATGCATCATGATATTTGTGTGTTTGTCTGTCCACTATGTGCTCTCTGTCTCCTATCCAAGTAAGCATCAATCTTCAGCTTGGGCTGGGTATGAGTAAATAATATAAAACCACACTGCACTTAGGCTATTATTATTGTAATATACTGAGTCATCAAGGTTCCCAGTAGGCTTCATTCTGAAGTGTTGTTATTCTCTTTTTGGCATCTCTTCAGTATGGATTTAAAATAACCCTACTTTCCACATGCAAGCTTATGGACTAATGAATCAGTTCCATATGATTTCCTTCATTAGCTAATTTGGCACACCATGACATTTATAGCAGGTTCCTTGTTATTGCTTCTCAGGCTTACCCTCTGTGGAGGGCAGCTAAAGGAGGCAGTGACTTAGGTGTGCCTTGTGCAACAACACAAGGTCTGCCCAACTTAAGTATGTTTCTTCTGCCCTGCCGCTTCCTGAAATCTCATTATGAATATACTCAACAATGAATATTGACTGCACAAAGATGTTATCTGTATTTTATTCCAATTAGACAGGTAATAATTTTTATAATGAGAAGCCCAAAAATAATTTTTATAATTAGAAGACTTTTCAAGTGGGTATAAACTCTATATTAGATAATCATAATTGCTGGAGATATGTATTGTAATTCAACTCTATTAAACCTTCAGAAACATGCATTTTAATGGACTCAGAGCATTATTTTACCTGTATGAATGAGTACATACTTTTGCTAGTTGTTTTTTAAAAATATATTTTATTGATTTTATTTCAGAGAGGGAGAGGGATAGAGAGCTAGAAACATCGTTGAGAGAGAAACATTGACCAGCCAACTCCTGTACACCCTCTACTGGGAATGTGCCCACAACCAAGGTAAATGACCTTGACCAGAATAAAACCTGGGACCCTTCAGTCTGCAGACTGACGCTCTATCCACTGAGCCAAACCAGTTAGGGCCATACTTTCGCTAGTTTATACATTTGCAGTACTTGGTTCACTTCATTAGTCTACTCATAATTTTGGGAAGAATTCTAAAAGATTGAGACAGTAGAGATTGGCAATTATTAACCAAAATCTGTCCCTTTTTTCCCATAAAAGACACCACTACGCTACATATTGCAGTCCTCCTTCCAGTCTGGTGAGGCTGTGCTCTTCTCAGTGGAACATGGATTGAAGTGAGATGTGCTGCTTCTAAGCTCTGCCTTCTCAGACAGAGATGATTCTTTGTTCATATGAGCCAGCTAAATGGAGAAGACTTGAAAACAGCAAAGGGTGAGGACACAAAACAGAAGGAAATTGAATGCCAGAAAGGTCATTTGGAGGAGAGCTCTCCAATTTACCCAAGGTCCAATATATTCATTTCATTATGTTTCATTACTGAAATATTGGGGTTGGTCCAGCCGTTAGCCTTCTCTTACTGACATTGACCAAAGGAAGAAGCATTAGCAAAGTATTCCAAGCTTGGATCTTTGTTAGTTGTCTTAATTCTGGGCAAATAAGAGCTAATATAAGGCCTTGACTTTTCAATGGGGAAAATGTTGGAGTGCAGAGGTATTATACAGGGGACGTGACAGTGAGACTTTGCCTTTCTTGGGGAGGCTGTTTGTTGATATGAGTGTCATGTGACAACAGAGGCAGGATTAAGTTCAGAAAGATTCAAAAGAGTCCAACATATGGAATCTTGGGTGACTATGCAGAAGACGACCACAGTAGATTGACACTGGAAAAAGAGGGAAGAGTAGAATTCCCTAAAAATGTGCTTTTAACCTTACAGAGCATTGTTATCTGGAAAAGACATACTACATGTTATAAGCCAAAGGAGTTCATGGGAAGAGAAATATTAAGAGTTTTGTCAGGGGGCTGTCGAAGTCACCTCAGCACATGCTTACCAAGGGATGATAAACTACCTTAATTTTTATTCCCAAAGATAAAAAGGAGTATCTTACCCTTCTAATAATGTTGGGGTCATTGCACTTTGCCAGTTTTCCAGCAAAAAGCTGAACTCCAAAGCTTGCAAAAACAAGCATTAATGTCAACAAAAGAATGGAGACCTGAAAGAAATTGGTGAGATATAAAAGCTCTCAGAAAGACTTTAAACAGTCCATTTGGTTTGAACAGCAATATGAACGGAACTTTTCCGATACCATTTGTATAAAATTCATGATCTTTTATGATATTTTTTAATTCCCCAGCACAGGCCATCCAATTAGCATTACTGGAATGTTAAAAGAAGAAAATTAACAAGAGGTTTTGGATTTTCAGAAAACATATAACTTGTAAGAAAATGGGCTAAGGTATGTTGATATGACGTAGATTTTCCTGATTTTAGCCAACACTTTTTATTTCTATTTTATTGAATGGAACAAAGAAACATGTCTAAATAATTATATTTATTCATTTTCTTAAAATAGATTCATACTTCTATTAGCAGAACATAAATTAGAGGGGCAGTGGCTTTGCTTTTTTGTGAGCATGAGGACATGTGAATGTGCTACTCACAGGATTCAAGTAATTCAGTCTAAAAAAACACACAAATCTCTTAACTGGCTTAGGCTCCCTCTGCTGGATGGCTATTTTGGTCTCCAAAGAGAAAAGTGGCAAAGGATAAAATACTAAGCACACTATTGATCTGTACTGGTTGCATAACTTAAAATATACCTTAAGTATACTAAAATTGCACAGAAACATCACCAGGGCAAAGACACACATAGATTCTCTTCTAAAAATCTATTAAGGGTCAAAGATACGCCACATTAGCCATCAGGCAATATTCTGTTTTTCTTCAGTTCTAACGGTGTAAAAGCCAAGATTTTATGGCTTTGTGACAAAGAAAATATGGAATTTTAAACACATATTTAAAAAAAGTGTTAGCAACTCCATGCCTATAGTCATAGTCCAACCTGTCTGTAAAATACCTTAGGATAAAATGCAACTAAAGCTGCTCTCTTACCACAGGTGTGTTTCTAGAAAGCAAGCTATGAGATAGGCTTGTGAGAATACATTCATGTTTTTCATGCTCAAGCAGAACTCATCAGTAATAACAAGAATCTTTTGACCACTCCTGCAACAGATTGCGAGCAATGAGTCTCTTACTCATGATTTTATCTGCCGCCCTGCTCTTAAAAGACCCTAAATCAGTGTTTACTCAAGTAAAAAGAATGTTTTCCCCCTCAATCACATTTGGAAGTATTCATTACTGTATATTTAGGTTAGAGTACAGTATATTTGTATGTTGCTTTTTTTGTGGGTTGTTTGGTTAACATTCTAGAGATCAGAGATAAATTCTATTGCTATATGCTTTAAGTGACATATTAAGTAAAATTGTGAACTCAAATGTGTTAATTCCTAATATAATTTTGTGAAGTAGATGGTGTTGAATCTTTTTAACCTTAATTTCCAGATGGGAAACTAAAACCCAGAGTAGAAATTAGGGCCAACAGTTAGGAATGGAAGTGTCAGCAAATACTGTGTTTTGATTCTTCTCTCATTGTCATTTCCAGAGAGCTTCTCTTTAGCGTAGGTAAAAAAAAAAAATGTTTGCTGAATGAAATATATTAATAAGGCAGAAGCATTTGGGGGTAAAGTTTATGAATGTGTACTGTGCATTGTTAGTGCTCTTATAATCTTCTGACCAAAAACTAAAATTGTAGATTTCACCTTGACAAGCAAGACTTGCTTTATCCTCTTGTTAGCTACATTGCAGAGGTGAACTCTGTGCACTGGGAGGGAAGTTAATTGTAACATACCAAAAAAATTTCCTTGAAGCCACTGAAAAGCTCTCGAACCACTTTCCTCATCTGTGGCACCAGTTTGAATATCCGCAACGGCCTTAGGCACCGAAGCACCATGAGGAGCTGAGCTCCTGATTCAGCAGGCACATTTTGAGGCATCCAACAAAGAAATATCAAGCTCACCTAGAGGGAAAAAAATCATCTCTTAAATTTATACAATTTATCCTCCACTGTGTATATTTTCTGAGAGCCAACTGACTACATCTATCCCTTAGGCGAGACTCCCCTGTGTTATATGGGACACACATTCACCCGGTGACTACGCAGTCTCTTCACTAAACTATGAACCCAATCTAGACCCAAGCAACCCTAAAGCAAAGCCATCAGGCATATGCAGGAATGGAACAGGATGCCACCAGGGGTGTGCAGCAGTGCACTCTGCCCCTTCCCTTACTGACACACTGGAGGCTCCCCTGATGTCAGCAGGATTGAAATTCCTTTGATCAAAGAGACTAAACCTCATTCATGACCTAATACTATTTTATTAACTACCTAAACAAGTTGCACTTAAGGGTCACAGTTCTCCTTGCTGTGCTGAAAAAGACATTGATTTTATACCTTCTTGGACATAAAGAGAAAAAAAAATTCTTTGAGTTGTTTCCCATGGTTTCTCAAATTAGTTTAACCAAACAGTTGAATGGTCTTTCCAAGCCAGATATTTTGTGCCTTATAATTGGGAGAAGGGTCCAACCACTCTCACTTTAGTTTGTTTTCAGTAGGAAGGCGGCTCATCAATCAATTATATAATGTAGATTTTTTTTTTTTTTCAGTATCAGAGCCACAAGAATTATGGGGGGTGTGGGGGGGGTAAACTAGTTTTGCTATCTTAGACCTTATTAATGCATGTCTTATATGCATACATGAAAGTGGGTGATGTAGTTCCAACCATATTTATGAATCTTTTTAATGTTTTCCATTTAGATTTTTATATACATGCCTCTTGTTCAGCTATAATAGACTTACTAGTACTTAAAAACTCAGTTTTGGCCAAAACCGGTTTGGCTCAGTGGATAAAGCATCAGCCTGAGGATTGAAAGGTCCCAGGTTCGATTCAGTCAAGTGCATGTACCTTAGTTGGGCACATCCCCAGTAGGGGGTGTGCAAGAGGCAGCTAGTTGATGTTTCTCTCTCATCGATGTTTCTAATTCTCTATCTCTCTCCCTCCCTCTCTGTAAAAAAATAAATAAAATACATTAAAAAACAATAACAACTCAGTTTTGGTATCTAAACTTTGGTGTCTCACATATTTCACTCTAGTACCAAGAAAAGCAGGATCGTTTACAAATCCATTATATTTTACATTTAAGAAATAATCAGCCGAAACCGGTTTGGCTCAATGGATAGAGAGTTGGCTTGGGGACTGAAAGGTCCCGGGTTCAATTCCGGTCAAGGGCATGTACCTTAGTTGCGGGCACATCCCCAGTAGGGGGTGTGCAAGAGGCAGCTGATCAATGACTCTCTCTCATCGATGTTTCTAACTCTCTATCTCTCTCCCTTCCTCTCTGTACAAAATCAATAAAATATATTAAAAAAAAGAAATAATCAAAGACTTACAAGATATATAAATATGTCCATTACTCCACCAAAGTCCCTGATGACAGCAGTTGGAGTGAAAAATAAGCCATCTGCCATAATCTTCAGGTTAAGCTCAATGCTCATGAATATCACAAATACATACTCAGCAATCTGAAATGAGCAAAAGGCAGTTTGATCACAATGAACGGAAAAGCTGCATGTCAGTGTCTTGGAGCTGTGTATTAAGATTTAGCAGAGGTACCTGTAAAGTAGGTGCATGCATGACTCTTCGGAAGGGAGATTCGAACATCATGGAAATGCAGGAACAGATGGTTACGATGATCATGACCCAGTCCAGGTAAGTCACCAATCCCAACAAGTCACTGCCAAAGACCAAACAGAACTGAGGAACACACACGATCCAGTAGAGGCGGCGGCTAAAAGCCAGAAAAGTCACTGCTGTGATTCTAATAATGTGACTGGTACATTTTTATGAATCATCGATTGTCTATTGCATGGCATAACATAGCAAGAAAACAAAGAGCATTTTTAATATTTTAATGCATCATAAAGCAGTACACAGAAACTTCAAATGTGCATGGAAAACATAATTTGTAAAGCTTACTAAAGTTGATGGTACTTTGTATTTTTCACAGCTCCTGTGACAGGATCTGTTTTAGATCTGTAAAAGAGAATAAACATATAAACTTCTGCAATATAGCAATGGTGTTATAAATTGGCAGCACAGAATTTAGAAACATCTCATCTACCTAAAATATCTTTTTTCCTCTTTGTAAAATGTGCATTATAATATACTAGAGGCTCAATGCATGGAGTTCATGCAAGGGTAAGCCCTCGCATCCACCCCAGCTTCGTCTGGAAGGTCGTCCCGTTGTCCAGCCATCCTGTTGATTTGCATATTATACTTTTATTATTATAGATGGTAACTGTTTTGACTTTGGGAAATAGAGAGCATTAGGTGGAAAAAAATCAGAAGAGCTTGCAGTTAATACTTATGAAAGTAAAGTTTTATATTTCTCAAAATATTTAATTTTAGAGTTGATTATTCCATTCAACAATTTCTGACATGGATTTTACAGAATTAAATTTTGGTTTTTCTTTAAAAACATGCATTTAAAATCTTTGCCTTAGCAGTTTAAAGATGTTCCTCATAATTATTTAATTAAATATCTCTAAATTCAACAGAGTTCCTTCACCCTGTATTTAACTGCGATCTTGTGGAGTAATGTATATAGAATTTCTCAGGGAAGGAATCTCTAACTTCTACTTTTTTGGGGGGACACAATCTCCTGTAAAGCCCCTAATAGTGTCTGTATGTGTGGTCCCAATTACAACAAAGTAATCTTTGGTTCATATCAGCTGCGTTGCTGACAAGGAGAACTACATGGCACTAAATGGAGTGGAGAGTTAGTAATTATAGTAATTAGATGTTAACATGAAGGCAGTCAACTGGTTCATTCCAGATGAAAACCCCACTTTGGAACTCATCAAATCAATTTTAAATTGCCAACTTTTCCCTTTACTTTGTGAAAACTCAGGGGAGTTTTTAATGATTATTACTCAGTTATTTGAAGCTGTGAAGATTTTTCTAGAATGGCAGGAAGAACAATGGATTGGTTGTCAGAGCAGGCCATGTACTAGCTGGTGTCCTTGGCAAAGCTCTTAATCTCTGCCGAGGTCTCCTCCAGTCCTGAATGCTATGACAGTGTATTAGTTTCATATGGCTGCTATAACGAAGTACCACAAACTGAGTGGCTTAAACAAAAGAAGTTCATTTTCTCAGCTCTGGAGGCTAGAAGTTCAAGGTGTCAGTAGGGTTTGTTCTTTATGACAGCTGAGAGAAGGCTCTGTCTCAGTTCCCTCTCCTTGGATTGTGGCTGGCCATCTTCTCTTTGTAGATGTAGCTTCCCCTCTTTATGTGGCTGTGTCCAAATGCCCTCCTCATACTGGTCATTTTGGGTGAGAGCCCACTCTAATGACCTCATTTTAATTTAATTACTTCTTTAAAAAGTCCCTCTGTCTGTTACATTCTGAGGGTACTGGGGATTAGCACTTCAACACATGAATATTTTTGGGGGTGGACACAATTCAGCTCATAACAGATAGTGAGCATCATGTGCTACTGATGGTCAACACAGGAGGTCAATTTATCTAAATGATAGCATCAGAGAAATTCCAGCTATAGATGGCAAAGTATTTGTACTTCCTCTAGGACTTTTAATGTCTTCAGGATAATTACTTCAAGTTATGCATGACAAAAGTCCCATGTCACCCACTGGCTGCCTGCTAACAACGGCTTGAGTCATCACAAATGCAGGGGTCTCCAGACTGACCACACTAACCGCCTCTTGGCCATTTCTTCCATGTGGGTAGGAATGGAGACAGTGGCCAATGGGTTTCCTTCTTAAAACAATTGATAATAGGAACACTCATCAACTTTCTTTTTACTTTTACATTATTCTAGAAGAAACGGATTGGGGTATTTTGATCATGAAGAAATTACAAATGGGAAAGAAGATGGACGCAATGCCTTCGCCCTGTCATTCAATCTCCCTTGGTTTCAGGGTTCAAAATAAACGTGGAGCCAAGAACACCGCTATCAACGTGTTGGGGCAGCAGTTAAAAACGAACAGATAAAAATGGCTAAGTGCTTTCTTAAACGTGAGTCATATATGAATTTAAACTACTGGCAACCTTTGTTTGTCTTGCACTGGGCTGGCCGCTCAGCAAATAAGAGCAGCATGATTAATTAGCCCACAATTTATTTTGTGACCCCATTAGGATTACACGTTTCTTCTCCCCAGTATGACAACCCCACCTGCTGTTTGTACGACCCAGGCCAAGCACCTGGCTGAAACGGAGTGTACTTACGCATTGAAGCGTGCCCGGACCACCACCCGGCAGAAGTTTCTGAACCTGTGCTCCCGTCCTACTATGAACAGTGGCTTATCGAAGTACGGGTGGTTCTCCCGCAGCTCCTCTTCTTGCACTTTCCTGGAAGGGGACATTGATGGGAAAGTAAGGCTAAGGAAAGGAATGCTGGCTCTTCCAAAGCGAGAAACAAGAAACAGCGAGGCACCCTGTACCTTTTCATTTCTGCTTGCTCCTTTTTTTCTTGGATCATCTTTATTTCACTGTCTTCTCTTTGTGCATTCCTGTACCTCACTGTATTGGAATGCTAGAAATAAATTAAAAGGAGTATATCAAAATGGATGATATTTTTGAAGACCACCCCAAAACGATCATTTTATAAAGACCTTTACTTTGTATATATTTTAATGGCCATGGTCATCTTAGCAAGGGTGTTTTTTTATTCCAAATTATTTTTTTTCTAATAAAAACTTTTATTGAGAACCAATTAGGTATCAGGTACTCTTCTGGTGCTGGGAATATGGCAAAATGGCAAAAACAAACAAAAAAAATCTCAATATGACAAGACAGACCCTGGTCTTGTGGGGCTAATGTTCTAATAATCAGGGATAAATATACAAACCAAAATTAGATCAAAACAAGTAAGAATGTTAGAAAAAATTTAGCATTTTGGTAAAAAACAAAGGGGAATAAAGCATGCTAGAAGCGTCCAAGTTTAAATAAACAGGTCGGAGCAGGCCTCAATAAGAAGCTGTTACTTTGAGCAAATACTAGAAGGATGCAGGCCACTGGATTTTTGCAGAAATGAATTCTTCCTGGGGAGTGAATGGGTCTGCATATGGAAAAGCCAGGATGCCAGTGTGGGTGGAAAGCAAGCAGCAGAGTTGGAGATGAGGCCAGAGGGCTGTGTGTTTGGGGAGCAGATCATGAAGCACAATGACTCTGATTTTCACTCTGTGGGAGATATAGAGCCTCCGCTCAGATAACTTGGTAACATCGTATAGACAGTAGTGCCTACCTTGAGTTGTTTTTCTCTTCTAGTATTCTATTAAGTGAAAGAGATGAAACTCTCTATGTAAATTGCTTTTATTATGGAAGACAGATTTCTTATAAGTAGAATTCCCCCTGGTTTTTTGCTATGGAGAAGACAGGAGGTGGGTTTTGTTTTATATCTATGTAGAAAATATTAAAAAAAAGATCTTTGAAGAAGAAATAAGCGTCTGCAATTGAGATATTTCAGACAGAGCCTTTTGTTGTATATATTTAAACATGTATTTCCAAAGCCATGTTCTAATTTGACTTTGGTGTGTACTGTGCATTTCTAATGAAATCCATGAAAGGAAAGTCCTCAGAATAGTGTTGCCTCTCTGAATTTTCACCTAGAAATTTTCCCCATGCTCTATGGTTGATCATAAATTTCAGTATACAGGTCTTGTGTTGGATCTAATCATACTTCCTTCTACAATATGTTGACAATACACTGGATCATATCAGACAGCATTCTGGCTTAAAACATCATGGTGATAACAGATGTTTGCACTAATCAGAACCATGTACCTTCATAATGGCTATAGCAGGTGTCTCATCTGGGGCTCTGAGCCATGTGGAGGGGTATACACTGACCATCCTCTAGCATAGGGGTGTCGAACTCAATCAGAGAAGGGGCCAAAATCTAAAATCCAGCCTAAATCGCGGGCCGAATGGTTTACTGAACAGTCATAAACTGTCATTGTGATGGAAACGCAGCGGAGTGCAGTGATGACAGCGCGGTGCGGGCCACATTGCAAGGCCTGGCGGGACGGATTTGGCCTGCGGGCCTTGTGTTTGACACATGTGCCTAGCAAGTAAGCCCTCAAATCTCCACCTTCCATCCCTTCACACTATTTTATTTTTCTTTATTCAAAGTCAAGCTGTCACAGCACTAAAAAAGAAATAATAATCACCCAGAAATTATTATATATTTGTTTACTTGGTTACCCTCTCTTTCACTAGACTATAAATGCCTGCAAGCAGAGATGATGTCTTGCTTCCCCTCTAGTCCTCATCACTGAGAACAGGATCTGCATACATATAATGAACACTTGATATATAGTTGGGCCAGTGAATAAAAAAATGAATAACCTAGGGTCTAAAAGAAAATAAATTATTGGGAAATGTTATGCAATTTTTGACATAAAAAATTCTTTTCAAAATCAAATTTTATTTCCCAGTTTGTAAAGCTGGGCTTAGGACTAGAGTCTAAATATTTGGAATTTAGTAAATAGTCAAAGTTAATAATGTGAATCGTTCCTATCATGTGCTTTGAATGTCTTTAAATTCGGTCAAATGTAACTGATATGTCATTTTTTTGTGTTGCTATCTTAACAACAGCATATAGTTTGTCGGATGTCTGGAATTTTCTATGGTTAATCATCTCTTTTCTGTCCCTGGCCATTTAATGTTTGCTGAGTCTCCTGATTTTCTCTGGTAGAAAATCTTATGGAGACATGACAATGTGACAGAAAGACTCAGGCACTGGAATCATGTGAGCAGCCATTTAAATACATCTTAAAAGTCAGGTTTCAAAAATCCAAAGCTTTGCTTAGAACTTACATCTTGAGTCAGAGTTTCAAGAGATTTCCCCCTGCTGATCCTCTGGCTGTTGGATCCGTGTCTTAGTGATCTAAAACAACCATAACCTACTGGTCAATATATCTCAAGACCAACTTTGGACTTAAGCAATGATCATTATTAAAAAAATAAAAATAAAACAACATTTCTTTGTATAGCAAAAGCTTTAGTCTATCCACCTATCTTTGATAACATCTGACTGAAATTCGGAATTTGCCTTTGGACATCACCAAGGTAAAGATTTTTGAAAGAACTTTTGACCTTTGGATCTGTTATAAATAATTTCGTTATTGTTACCATCAAGGAGGAGAACCCATACTATCTGCTAACCAGGGCTGGGAAAGCAAACACTTCCTGCAATCACTCCTTTCCTGGGTTTCTCTGCAGCCTGGTCTCCTGCTGTATTTACCTGCGCTCCTGGCGGATGTGATGCTGCACACTGAGAATTGACCTTTCCTTTGCCGGCTGCCCCTCAAATGAGCCACTCAGCATGCGCTGTCGAGTGCAAGCTCTAGGAAAAAAAAAAAAAAAAAAGGAGCCCAAGATAAATGTGTGATCTGTACACTTGGAATGAATAATACATAACTGCTCATTACTCATTATTTTTAAGGAAACACCAATGATAAGGCAAAATAGAGCAAATAATGCACAATCATAAAGGAAAAGGAGCTTTGGGCTTCCTGTCAAGAATACTTTTACGAAGCAGAGCTGTTTTGGCTATGAAGAGGAGCTGGAAAACAAACAGAAAGCTCTCTCCAGTCTCCCCACCCCCACCATGTTTTTCCTCCCCATCACCCAAATAGGAGAGCTTCTATTGGGGTTCTGTTAGTAGTAGGGCCGGCCTGACCAAGATTAATCATGATGTTAGTTTTGAATTTAGACAAGGAGGTTTTCAATAAAGCCCTCGGGGAAGGGTTTGTCCACCCAGGGACGATAGAATATACATTTCAAGATTTTGCAGAACTCTAAGAAAACTGGAAAGCATAAAGTTCGATAGGGGCACACATTAGTATGAAAGAGAAGTAACTAAAGCTGAAATTAATACCAAGAGAAACCTCAGTCTGAAGCTTATAATCAGTCAGTCACCACTTTCTTCACAACCACAAAACTCCCGAGATTTTTGAAGGTATGCTAAGCTTTTCATAATTGGGTGACTCAACACCTGTGGTGTGAATGATTTGGACAACAAAATTTCTTCTCCAGAAAGCCCTATCCAGCTGAAAATGATAGAAATTCTCTTGACTTAGTCATAAAGTAAAGAGAAATTCAGGGCCTAGGAGGGCTGTGTGCCAGAGGCGACACTGTCCCGAGTTAGCGAGTGACCCCTCAGCTCAGTTCCCTAATGGGGAACATGAAGAGAAGGGCTTGATCTCAAAGAAAATTCATGGGCTTACCATACTATGATTTTAGGATATGAAAATCTTATGACACTGTATTTGTTCAACACCTGAACACGTCTACTACTGTCATTGCTTTACATAAACACTTTCATACTTATGTTTCCTAACATGTTACCTAGACTGGCTTTGAACTATATTACTATTTGTCTCAGAGTTATGATCTTTGAGAAAAGATCTGTGTCTGCTTAGATTCTTAAAATAGCAGTTTTTATATCATGTGTATATTTAAGTACTTAAAAATGCCTTTGATACCAATGAAAATAATTATGGTGAATACCTGTGAAAAAGCACACAAACACAAGGAATGCAGGTGTATTACAGAAAATAAAACTCAAAGAATCACTTTTCTTAGATTAATAAGCAGAAGGAAAACATTAAAATCCAAATAAAATTTTATTAAACAACAAGGATTTATGAGAGTGATATACAGATTCACAGTTTTTGCCCACTAGTCAGTCTAAGGCTGTCTGGGCATTCATGTGGAGGAAGAGTTAGCACTGCATGTACTGACTCCAGGGCCTGAAGGATGTCCAGCACCTGGGGCAGCATAACACACCCACACCTGCTGGGTGTCCTCTGTGAATCTTTTCACATCCTCTTCCTCTGACCCCAAACAAGCAGGTCGCAGTGGAGACCCTTGGCTGTGGGAAGACTCTCCGGCCCCACCCCCCACCATGACATTTCTCCTTTCAACTGATTGGCATTGGTGAAATGGCGGCGAGAAAGCAAGTTCCTTTTCCTCTTCAGCTCAAGATCACTCTCCTCTTTCCCAATGGGTCCAGAGAATTCAGAAAATAGTACTAAAGTGGGTTGGAGTTTCAGCCATATACCAGTATGTGAATTGTTGTTCTCCGTATGATTCAGTCATGGGAGAGGTGGGGCTGCTTTTTAGCTCCACCCTGAAACCTGAGCTTAGTCAGGTTGAGATGGCCACCTAAATGAGCATAGTATGTAAAACCATTTGCTTTCATTTCCTTTTCCTACCGCTTTCTTCTTCTACGTTTATAAAGTTTTCTAGTAAAATTTTAAACTAGATAATGAAAAAAGCCCAGTAATTCTGGGCCCATGAAACCATGCAACAGGTGACTTCAGAGTTCTATTGGAGCCAAGCATAAATGTTGGTGGTTTTCTTTCCTCACTGAGAGAATCCTGCCAGGGTCTTCCTGTTCTCTGAGCAGAGGCTGTATTCCCACCTCCTCATTTCCCAGGCTCCAAACGTACCCGTTCCCATGAAATCTGAGCAAAATGAAGACAGGCAGATAGGGCCAAATTGGCTTGGTGTTAAGAGGTCATCTTTGGTGCTTAAGGCTCGACATGGTCCCCTGTGCCGATCTCACACATCCCAGCACTCCACCTCCGAGTCTGGTGCCAAAGCTAAGGTAAACAGTCTTCCTCTCCCTTTAGTGGTGCTCTTGTCCAGTCTCTTCTTGGCTCCCTCTTTCCTCTGAGTATCTTCAATGCTTTCGAACAAGAAAACTCAGTAGGTGCTCAATAAATATTTGTTAAATGAATGAACTTTGAAATTCTGTGAAGATCAACTATTTTAATTTCTTTTTTGATCACTTCATGCTTATCAAGCATGGAAACAATCACAAACAAAACAGCATGTGTTTGAAATAGGCTTTTTAAAGGGAATGTTAAATCATTTTAATTTTATCTCAAGTTGGAATATTCTGCCATCAAAAAACGAGCTGCACACCTACGATAGATGAGACCCTTAGACTGTAATAAAAGAAAATCAGATATTGCTTCCAGCAAGTAGACAATTTGTAAACCTTTATCTACATTCTACGTGGAAGCTGTTAAAGGGAGACCCTGTAAGCTGAAATGAGGCTGAGCTGCACTCATTTCAATATTGTAAAAGGGAGATCTGATCTGGTTTCTATGTATCTTGTCGTATAGCAATCTACCACCACGCCAAAGTACTGAATAACAAAGGAATTTGAGATTTTTAATATTTTACCAATAAGAAATTTGAGGCTTTTAATATGTTACCAATATTTTAATAAAAGACCTACTCAGCAAAAGTACTATAAAATTCAATTAAGTTACATTTTGCCACTTAAAAATTTCTATTTAAATTTAGATGCCTTTTAATCTCACATAAAGATTTTAAAAATATGTTTTCAGGAAGAAAGTGTTCCTTTATTTGCTGCCTAGAGTAAAAAGCAAAGGTAATGGCACAGAAAAGAACACACTGATCTTCAGGGATGCTCTCACTTTTCTTAGGGGAAAGATCAATGTAGTCTTGGAATTAAGGTCTTCAGCATCTTCTGTCTCTTCATCATGGCAAGTACTTAGAAGGGCCAATTCCTAGAAATTCCATCTAGTGGCTTAAAATTAAAAAAAAAACAAAAACACAAAAAACAAAAAAGGTCTGCCTGGTTGGCTTCTGGAGCTGGGAGGGACAAGGTTTCAAGTGTCTGGTGAAAAATAATGAAGTCTTTTGTCTTGTCTGAGTGAGGAAATTCTCCATTATGCAGGCATATGTAATCCCTTTATCCCTGCTCCCTGGAGGAGAATTACAGTGAGGCATTTTCCTTTTCCCAGTTGGGGTTAATGTTATGCCCTCTCTACCTTTGAAAGTAAAACAAGACTAGGACCCCTGATGATGATTCAAATGTGGGAATATTCTTCAGCAAACACACATTCCCAGTTGCAAAAATATTACCCCTGGTTTCTTGCCAAACCTTTGAAAAAAAATGAAAGATGGATTCTTTTTTCTTCTTCTTTGCATTGCCTTTGTGCTGTGGAATTTCAATTGCCCCTTACATGACAGCCATATATATATAATCTTTTATGGAGGCTGGGGGAAGAGAACCCCATCGTAAGAAATTGTCTTTATTTTTCTTGAAATTTCTCCATCTAAAATATTTTTAAATTGGCCCAAAGATTATGGTTATATGAGAGATCTTTGGAGTTTTATTAGCCCTTAAACACCACTAGTTGTTTATGGAAACAGTAGCAGGGGGTCCTCGGTTTCTTTCTTCGCTTTCTCCATGTCTTCTTTCTTAATGTTCCAGAACAAAGGTGTTGGCAAAGCCTGTATATTCTGTAATGAAAAAGAGAGATCTGTGAGTCTTCAGATTATCTTCATCCATTAGAGAAAAGTTAAATAACATGATAATTAAATATAATTACCATCTTAAAAAAAAGTGCAATGTAACTTTGCAAAGTATTACATTTGAGGAATTTTACTCAAATCTTGAGCTCCACAAGGTAGCACATGGTAAAATATTATCTGATATAGTGTAATCACATCAACAGACTACAGGAAAATAATCTTTCGGGGGTAATTATGTGAAACTATGGATGAACTGTGTAAGAAAATAGATAGTATTTCCTGGAATGGCTCTTACCTGATTCCAGTGAAGTGACAAGGTGATTGTCCTAAGTAGAGACAACGGCAGATACGAATGGGTGCGCTCCTCTGTAATGGGCTCTTGATGAGATGAGGGAAAAGCTGCATTCTTATTGTAGTTAAAACCCCACTCTTTTGTGAATCAGCCCAGTCCTGCGTAAATGACTATGGCTCCTGAATAGCAACAGCCAATTAGTTCTTTCCAACCTTGCATTATTAATACAAATGTTTTCATATACAGACATGCAAATCCATGTCTGGGGCAACCAAAATCCCATTGTGGATTGAAAAATAAAAAGGAGCTTTTAATATCTTATCATCTGTAGGTACATTAAAAAAAACACAAAAACAAAACAAAACAAAAAAACAAACAAACAAAAAAAACTAACTTGTAGAAATACCATGCCTTTAGTGCATCTATTAAAATTCAGCAAGTAAAATGTCTGAAACCCTACACCATTCATTGGAGTTCAATATTTGTAACCCAACCACTGACTCAGAAAACTGTAAATTACAACAGTTTTATTGTGATAAAAGTAAAAATTTGTTAATGTTGCATAAACCATACGAACCCATTTTCCCACAGATATGTATTTTTCTATATTACTTATTACTTTACCCTCCAATGACAAAGTAGTAAAAGGAACACCTTGTTAAAATATCTTCCCACATTTGTTAGGATAAAAGTTAACAGCAGGTCTCCCAAGCCAGAGCAATATTCCAGTCACTTTGGAGCTTATCTTAAAATAATCTACAAAGCAGATACTAGCTCAGAAAAGCAACCCATTTTGATTACTACAAATCAGGTACTATCTAAAAAAAAAATCTCAGAATATATTATTTAATTATATATGGTAATAGATGTTAACTAGACTTATTGTGGTGGTCACTTTATAATATATAAATATCAAATCATCATTTTGTTCACTTGAAACTAATATAATGTTATGTCAATTATTTTTCTCAATAAATTTTTGGAAAACCTGAATGGAAGTTTGGTTAAAAAGGCAAAATATGTATAATTTTTTCCTTCAATTAAGTTATAAATTGTAGTTGTCTATAAAAATCATTCTCTTAAAATGATAAGAGAGACCTAGCTGGTTTGGTTCAGTGGATAGAGTGTTGGCCTGAGGACTGAAGGGTCCCAGGTCCCAATCTTGTCAAGGACAGGTAGGTGCCTGGGATTTGGGCGATTCCCAGTAGGGGGCATGAAAGAGGCAGTTGATCAATGATTCTCATCATTGACGTTTCTATCGCTCTTTCCCTCTTCCCTCTTCCTTCTTCTCTGATATCAATAAAAATCTATTTATAGCCTTAGCTGGTTTGGCTCAGTGGATAGAGTGTCAGTCTGCAGACTGAAGGGTCCCAGATTTGATTCTGATCAGGGACACATGCCTGGGTTGTGGGTTTGATCTCCAGTGGGGGACATGCAGGAGGCAGGCAATCAGTGATTCTCTTTTATCATTGATGTTTCCATCTCTCTTTTCCTCTCCCTTTCTCTCTGAAATCAATAAAGATATATTTAAAAATACATGTTTATAAAAAATGATGAGAAAAACTAACCCTACATATGCCATTAACTATAATTTATTTTTTATAACAAGTGGCCATCAACTAAAGGCTATTCTTCATAATTTAAAAATTATTAATACAAGTACAGGGCCAGGGAAATTTTGTCATAGATCCAAATATCAGAATACAAATATCATATTAAACCGAGCATTCAAAAAGATTATGAATCCATGGCCGGTGTTGCTCAGTGGATTGATAATTGTCTGGTGCATCTAAAGTTCGCTGTTTTGATTCCCAGTCAGGGCACATACCCAGGTTGCATGCTCCATTCCTGGTTGGGTGCACAAAGAGGCAGCCAATGGATGTTTCTTTCTCACATTGATGTTTCTCTCTTTCTCTCTCTCTCAACTATTTCCTTACTCTCTCTCTAAATCAATAAAAACATATTTTTTAAAGGTTATGAATATATTATCCTAATTAATGAATTTTGATGGCGCCCCACAAAAGAAGGGAACTTTTTAAAAGAATACAAAATGTTTATTTTATTTTGACATTTCTCTATGCATTCAGCCTAGTAGGAATGATAATAGATTTTTTAAAAATCAATTTCAAGGTTTTGAATTACAGCAAACTGAGTAGCAAAAGTAATGTGTTTTAAAGCACACTGCTATTTGTTTTGATTTCATCCACTGCCTTTTGAAGGAAGCTTTCTTTAGTGGAGCTGAATGGTATAGTCAAAGTCAAAGCAACAGTGAATTTTTTTAAAGCTTTTATTAAGTTTATTGGGGTAACATTGGTTAAAAATTTATTTAGTTTTCAGGTGTACAATTCTATTATATGTGATATTGTGTGTTCATCACAATCAGTCAAGTCTCCTTCCATAATCATTTAACCCCCCTTTACCTTCTTCTATCTTTCCTCACCCCCTTTCCCTCTCATAATCACCATAGCATTGTCTGTGTCTATGAGTTTTTCCTTTGCTTAATCCCTTCACCTTTCCCCCTCGCCCTCCAATCCTCCCTTCTAACAGCTGTCAGCCTCTTCTCAGTATCTAGGAATCTGTTTCTATTTCGCTTGTTAGTTTATTTTGTTCATAAGATTCCACATATAAGCGAAATCATAACAACAGTGAATTTAATAACCTTGGATTTTATGTATTAGGTGGTGGGACATTTTGTCTCCCGCAATACTCTCCAGGTTACACCTTGAAAAAAATCAATACAGATGCCCATTTGTGCCAAGTGAGTCACTGCATTTAAGCATGCAACTGTACTCTAGAGTTTTGTAAAAATGGCCCACCTTTGTTTCTTGTTAAAGAGTTCTCAAATAGGTCCAGAAATTCATTTCTATTTCTCCAGGCATTAATTAATTAAAAAAATACATAGAAGAATACAAATTAAAGATGATTACATGTAGAAAAGGTGACTTCACCAATTCCCAGGAACATCCTGGCACCCAGGTCACTGTGAGGTAAGGCCTGGGCCGGGAGCAGGAGCCAATGCCCTGCGATTGATCACAGGGAGCTGGGGCTCCGCTCCTGCTCTAGAGGCTTTCTGCCTGGGCAGGGATGGAACCGGCTGTCGGAGAGAGCTGGAGAGCCCCCGCTGAGGTCTAAAGCTTTGGCCAGTGGCTTTCGGCCTGGGCAAGGCCCAGCCCGCGATTGGTGTGAACTATAGAGGAAACACCTTTTCTGACTGCACATTGGCTAAGCTTCCTATATGCCACTGGTAATATTCTTAGTAACTTGGGTAATAAGAATCCAAAAAGTGATCTAAGGTTGTTCCACCACACTCCTGGAGAAAAAAAAATGAAGGTCTGCTGCTGGAGGGCTAAGAAATGTCATATCCTGCCCTAGCCGGTTTGACTCAGTGGATAATGCCTCCGCCTGCAGACCGCAGGGTCTGGGTTGATTCTGATCAAGGGCATGCACTTAGGTTGCAGGCTCCTCCCTGGCTGGGGCCCAGATCAGGGCTCATGCAGGAGGCAACCAATCAAAGTGTTCCTCTCACTTTGATGTTTCTCTCTGTCTTTCCCTTTGTCTTCACATTCTCTAAAAGTAAATGGAAACATATTCTCAGATGAAGATGAAAGAAAGAAAGAAAGAAAGAAAGAAAGAAAGAAAGAAAGAAAGAAAGAAAGAAAGAAAGAAAGAAATGCATATCTTATAAAAGACATCTTGAAAATGCCTAAATAAAGTTGTCATTTTTTCTTGGTGAAGGGACTGGAGCCGGTGTTGATAAAAACACCTTGGTGGCTGCAGTGACTGGCAGTGGAGTTGGTCATGGGACTGGTGCCTTCTCCTGATCAGCCCGGTTGCCTCCCACAAAGGGAGGCCAGACTGCGTCTTAGGGGGTGGGCCTAAGCCATCAGTAGGAAATCCCCTGAGGGCTCCCTGTATTGAGAGGAGGCAGGTTTGGCTGAGGGACCCCCCATCCCCAGTGAACAAGTTTGTGTATTGGGCCCCTAGTCCTTACTAATAAAAACCTGAGTAGTCTTCACACCGTGATGCTCTCACGCTGTCACAAGATGGCTGCACGCACAGTGGGTGCGTGTAGGTGGGTGGGCTGGGCTTGACTCTGTGCGCAGCATGCAGCCTGCCTGGGATTCTAGCCTCTGCGAGGTGAGACCTGTCTGGGAGTCCTCCAGCTCTGTGCAGTGAGGCCTGCCTGGGGGTTTCAGGGGTCCCGCCTCTGCTGTGTGGAGCCGGGACACCTGGCTCTGGCCTACCTCTTTGAGGCGATCAATCACGGGGCTCCCACACTGTAACAGAGCACAGGCCGGGCTGCCCGCGCCCCTGAGTGTACAAATTTCATTGACATATAACATTATATTAGTTTAGGTATACAACATAATTATTTGATATTTGTATATATAGTGAAATGATCTAAACGCTTATCAAGAATTTTCTGCCCAATCTCAATCAGATATCTTTGCCTAAAGGCACTTAAATTCAAACTCAAAACCTTAAAAATATCCACCCTAACGATCCCTTCTGAGAGATTAGTAAGCATGCTGATGTGTTGGTTTCCTTGACTGAAATAACTATTACATTTCACTTTGCTTGATCAACATTTTGCTCAGACACAATTTTGGGCAGTATACATGGCAAAGGCAGATGAGAAAACTGAGGATCAGGTAAGTGAGTTGCTCAAGATTACACAGTAGCAGAAGCAGACAACAGTCCAGGTCTTCTAACTCCAAGTCCAATATTCTGTGTTACCCAAGATTGGAGTGGTGGTGGGGAGTGGTGGGTGCTGTTCTAAGAGCATCACCTCCAATCTTTAAGTTCCTAGAAGTCTTGCCCTAGCTGGTGTGTCTCAGTGAATAGAGCGCTGGCCTGTGGACTGAAGGGTCTTGGGTTCGATTCCAGTCAAGGGCACATGCCTGGAAGCTCAATCCCAGTAGGAGGTGTGCAGGAGGCAGCTAATCAATGATTCTCTCTCATCATTGATGTTTCTATCTCTCTATTCCTCTTTCTTCCTTTCTGAAATAAATAAAAACATATTTAAAAATAAATAAATTTCTAGAGCCTAGGAGAGGAGAGGCTCTGGAGAGAGTGTGAAGACACTGAAAGAGTGTTGGAAACTTTTCTATCTTCCCCATCTTCTGAAGGGTTTTTTCAATCGTTTGCCCTAGATAACTATAAATGTTTTTTCTTTTCTTTATTTTTAATTTCTCTCTTTTTTTTTCTTTTTAGTTGTTGTTTCATAAATAAATAAATAAATAAATAAATAAATAAATAAATAAACAGCATAGAAAAATGTCCATGAACTCACAGACATGGGCCAATCTATTCTTGGCCTTCTATTTTATAGGTTGTTTACATTATAATGTAGGCATGATATTATTATTATGAATTCTTCTATCATTAGTAAAAAAAAAAAATACAACCAAAGAAACTATCCATTTGACATTTTGCACTTGTCCTTAATTATTGCACAGACTAGTGTAGCAGAGGTGAGGAAAACGTTTTATAGTAGAAAAGAGCTAAAAGATTATTCTAAAGATTGAATATGCATTCTTACAATAAATCTTAATTTTTTTCCCTAATTGTGGCCTCTTCTGTTGTGAGATTAACTGCATGGCAGAGTTTAAGTAGCCTTGAGTAGCTCCTTCTCATCTTGTAGTATTCTACATTGTTGCCTCTGGGTGCCCCTCAAACTATTGCACAAATCTGAGGGTGCCCCTAATCCTTGATAGTCTTAACTATTTTGCTTAAGTACCCCATAAATTTTCTCTTTTTAAAACCACTTAGGTACATTTACAAATCAGCAATTAAATTTTCCTTTCCTTGGAGAATCTCATCCATCCAATCCATTCAATTTTATGGCATTGGGCACCTATGAAGTCCTTTTCATTGCCAAACCAATCAGCTAAATCTCTCAGAAAAAAAAAAAAAAATTGACTTTATTTTTCAATTCAAATAACAGCCCATTGTGACAACCAAGTTATTTCTAAGGCTTTTTAAGTATATAAATTCTTGGAAGGAGGTTTTTCCAGAAATTTGTCACCTGTACAATAAGGTGCTTCCTGAGAGCCATGTGGGAATAGTCCCTGCATTTGGCAACCCAAAGGACTTTACATTCCAGATCAATACACTACACAAAGTTTCACCTTTTTTTTAGATGGATGAGTGAGAGTTTCATCTTTCCATTGTAAACTGGGAGAGAGGTGAATGAGGAAAGGGATCTGGAAAAGAAAAAGTGTGAGATCAAATTTAAGAATGAGTTCAGAGGAAAGTGGGGCTCTGGAAGACACTGCTTCCTTCCAAGTGTCCCTGTCTACCCATACTCCGAAAGTCTCTGGGAACCCCTAGGGAAAATTCACATCAGTTGAAAGGCAGTTTTTCTGGACAGGTGAATAAGGTTGTTTTGGTTCCTACTTTTGCAGGTAGATTCTAAATCCAGAGTATCACAATCTCCTTGTAGGCCATTTCTGGTTGAGGCAGAATCATCTTCCTCAGGAGCACACTGACACTCCTGCAGGGCTGGTCCAGCACATGATCTGCTTTGTGTGAGTGGGGGAGAGTCTTCAAGATCCTAGAGATTGGCCTGGCCATGAACTTGTCTAGTTACAGCTTGATAAAAACCCTGTAGTACCACATGATGTTCAAGGCTGGCCTCATGGTGTTATTGATGGTAATGCCAGAATTGAGCCAGTTGGAAGCAAATGGAAGTTGGGACACAGGTTGTTATAAATTTACTTAGAAGCTTTCCTTTTCCTATTTCAATAAGACCTTTTAAATTCATCTCATCGTATTCTATGATGATACTATAGAAGCCCCAGAGATATTTATTCTCATTTCATAAAAGGTACTCCAATACATATTCAACCCTGTGCATGAATCACCAGCTAACATAAAGAATAAATATATTGAATATTTAGAACTGATTTTGGCATACAAATTTCAGGTACTATTAAAAAGTTGGAATAGTTTCTCAAATCACATATTCACTTTATTTTTAAATTACAGTTATACAAGTTACAGTGATCTATATTCTGGTGAAAATGCTTTAATGATTGTTCCTATTAATGAGGTTAGAGTAGAAGGAATTCTAATTTCTTTACCTTCAAACAAGCTTAAAGAGGGCTTTCTGATATACATTTACCCATTTACCTTCTCAGTCATTCTACCCTCAACTCCCAATATTTAACTGTGTTGTTATGTACCAATAACTCACAAGTGCTTATGAATTTTTATAATGATCATATTACTTTATATTATAACATAGTCTTATAAAATACTCTCAAGTGGGTGGCTTAATTTTACTTTCTAATATTTCACTTCAAGGAAGATTTTAGATTTCAGCATTTAATTCTATGTCTTATAAGCATTCTAAAATGAATATACTTTTAATTCTTATAGATTTTAAATCAATTGATTCTTTAAAAAATCAATAAATCACAGTTACTTTTAAAAAGCTTACCCTTTTACTATTTTCCCCTTAGATTATGATTAGTACTTTGGTTATCAAAAAAGACCTCACTTGTAGGAATAAAAGTATTTTCATCTTTTTGTAAAAGTTTATAATTATAATTTGTGGTTAAGTACATGAAAATAAAATAAATGGCCAATTGAGCTAGTAAAATATTACTGTTTCAGGAAAAATGTTAGTGAGGTATTTGACATTGTTTATAAGTAAATAGTTAACTAAACCTACTTTCTAGCAGAAAGCATATATTGATACTCGGAAAAGTAGTTCATTAGAAAAGCTCTTTTTTGCTTAATACAATCCCACTGTGTTTAAACACATTGTTACCTTAAGATCTTAGTGACTGCGGTCTCCTTTTCTAGAAGATTCCTTGCCCTGATGCTGAAAACAGACTTGCGAAGCTGTAAAATTATGAGCATGATAATTCATTACATATATTAAATAGGTAACACTATTAAAACATGAAACATTAAGTTTTTCAAAAGCATCATCATCCCTGGCCCAGTAGGTCAGTGGGTTAGAGCATTATCCAATACACCAAGGTTGCAGGTTCCATCTCCGGTCAGGCCACGTAGAAGAATTAACCAATGAATGCATCAATAAGTGAAAAAACAATAGATCAGTGTTCTCTCTCTCTCTCTCTCTCTCTCTCTCTCTCTCTCTCTCTCTCTCTCTCTCTCCTTTTCTCTGTCTCTTTAAAAAGGAAAATCAATAAAGAGCATCATCATACAATTGATTCTATCATTTAGTTTTATTTTCTACTTTTACTTTTTTTAGGCAGAACTGCAAACAAGCTTGTCCAGTTATGGGAAAGATGCATTGGCGGGAAAGATGCATTGGCTATGCTCACTAGTAATAATGTCACTTTGATAGGCTATTCAGTTTCCAAAGAAGTTAACACTGAAATCAATATGGGACTCCTTGTTGCCATTGTTCAATAAAACGTTCTCTCTTCAATATTGCATCTTTGTCAGGTTTTTGGCCTGATGCTCAATACTAATCTGAATGATAATGATGGGGAGAAATAAGAATAGTTTCTGAGGTATCTTCCAAGATATTGATAATGAAATTATTCCAGGGAAAAGGACCAAAACGAAAAATACTAGAGGCTGACTAAAAACTAGAAGATGCATTCCCTGAGCTCGGCCTGATAGCTGCAGAAGTCAGATGGTGACAGGTATATAGGGAGCCAGGCAGAGAAAAGGACAAAGCAACACACCATCCTGAGAGAGACTCACCATAGTCACTAGAAAGTGTAACTCCAGTAGTCAGACCAAAGATAATACTTGGATAATGAGCTGGTCATTTTGTTTAGATTAGATTTCCTGGGCACTTATGAGATAAACTATTGGAGATATAGGGTACTAGGAATCAGAGTTTTTGCTTACTATAGTAAAATTAAAAAACAAAACAAACAAAAAATCGCTAGTTACAGAGGCAAGGCTATCACATATGAGATAATCAGTAAAAAGCAGGATGTAGTAGACAGCAAAGTGTGAGGCAATAAGCACGGTAGAAAAGATGAGAGGGGTTGTAGGACTTTTGGTGGGGAGGAACTAGATGTGCTTAAAATAGTAAGCAAAAACTAATTTCCACTTGGAGAAGTGGAAATTATGGTGGGTCTTAAAGGATAGTTAAGATTTCTATAGGCCAAAGAAGCTGTGAGTAAGGAACTGAAGTTGAAAATGCATTCATTGGGCAAATTAATTCGGTGCACACTGTAAATGCTGAGCTAGGTGAGTCTTTAAGCAAGGCAAGTGGAAGAAACACTGCAAGACATACTGTGCTTCAAACAAAGTTGAGGGAAGGAAAGGAAAAGCAGGAGACAGAACAATTCTGGATTCAGTAAAAATAGACCATCTAGTTTCTTTGAAACAAGAGTTAGGTAATTTGAGATGCAAAGTCACAGAGCTCCAATTTGCAAACACATCTGTAAACAAATATTGTACTGTCAACCAATATGTCCATATGACTATAGCTAGGGGAGAACTGGTGCTCATAAATTGGTCTTTTCAGGCACAACTGACAACCTAGATAACATTATAACTAACAATACAATTTTCATATTTCACAGAAAATCTCTAATAAAGGGAAAGATCATTGAACATATAGGCAAAATTTCTTACACGTGGAAAGATGGCACTCATTTCATTCAATAATGAAAACTGAATTGGCTTGGTAGCATAATCAGGAGAATAAATTCATATAGACAAGGAGATAAAAGTAGATATCAGATTTTTTTAAGAAATTACATACTCAGGGTAGCACACAGAAGGCTGTTTACCATGATATATAATGAAACTTTTTAAAATATTTTCTCTTCTCCTAAAGATGTGACTTCTGGCATTGATTTAACTTCCTTGCGTAGACAACACATCTAAGGAATGCTGTTTGGAGACATTTTGGAAACAGAACACACAGCTGAATAGTCCCATCATGGTGGCACTTCTGCTCTTTCCATACCTAAGTGCACATAGTCATAAGAAAGGCCTAGGCCACAGGGACCCTGGGACAGCAAGTTTTAGAAGTCTTAGAGTCCGCTTACTCTTATTTCATCTCCACAAGACAATGACATGCCTTTGTTATCTTTCCCTAGTGTAAGGCGATGGTCTGAATTCAATCACCTATCTACTGCCCTGCAATTGAGCAGCTGATACTTAAAACAGTGTTCTTTATGTTTAGAAAAACCTTTGCAGAAACTGGGAATAATATTTATTACATTGTTTCTAAAATTATTTCTGTATTGAATATCCCTTGTCCTAAACTTGAACGGATTAAAACAAAATATTCTCTAGCTGAAACTGGTTTGGTTCAGTGGTAGAGCGTCGGTCTGCAGACTGAAAGGTCCCAGGTTCGATTCCGGTCAAGAGCATGTACATTGGTTGCAGGCACATCCCTGGTAGGGGGTGTGCAAGAAGCAGCTGGTCGATGTTTCTCTCTCATCGACGTTTCTAGCTCTCTATCTCTCTCCCTTCCTCTCTAAAACCAATAAAAATATATTAAAACAAAATATACTCTAAATCTGTACCAGGGAGTATTTGAGAACTGGTTTTATCACAAACAGCAGAAGCAGTGAAAAAAATATTGTAGTAGGAGATACAGATTTAGCTTTGGGATGTTCTTGAAAGGAGATACCTATTTCTACATCTATATTTCTCTATCCATCTACTATCATCTATATATCTCCATTTGATAGCCTAGATACATATTTAAATATTTTATTTTTTCTGTTTTGTAGTAAATAAAAAGGCCTATATTGATTATCTGGTTATTCCTTCAGTTTTTCTTGTTTCTGTAGTATAGCTTTGCACATATCTTTTAGTAAAGGACATTTTCTAATTTTGTCACAAGTACTTAGAGCTACACTGCTCTGCAGTGCCCTCTCCTGGTTCTAAAAGACACTAACAGGCACCTGAAATGATCAAAAACACTTAAGGAATACAGAAATGTATTTCATAATAGTAATTCTAAACCTGAAATTGTAAATTTACAGCTCGGAAAGGTGTCAGCAGTTGTTCATTCTGTTTATAAGCATATCAAGGATGTAGGACTCAAAAGGAAGGGTATGGGTGACATTTTTACATAGAATTTGCATAGAAAAAAAAGATTAGTTGAAAAAACTCTTTTTTGGTGGTTTTATTCTGTTTGTAAACCGAATACATTCAATTCCACAAGATAATCATTCTTTGCTAAGTTAATTATAAAATATAAATTAAATTTAAATGTCCAAACATTCAGAGATAACCTTTTTTGTCTTAAAATTTTAATTTAAAAGATGTTTCCAGAAGAGCCTGGGAGTTCAAATCAATTTGCATAGAGTTAGTGGTTAAATAATTAGGAGCTGAAGGAAACAGCAATGAATAGATCTAGCTGTTTTGTTTGCAATGTCTTTTACATATTTAAATCCAGATTCTCAATTTTCTCAGTTTACAGTTGAAGATCCTGAGCCATTTAACCTGTAGTTTTTGGAAGTCTGAATTTTGCTAGGTGCACATTCATGGTATAGATCACATATTCATCTGTCTTCTGTATTTCCTTTAGGTTGACAGCTGAATACAGAGTTTCATCAGACTCAGATGTGATCCCTTTGGCAAGGCCATAGGTGAAGTCATAGTACTTCATAGGCAGACACATAATGTCTGGTTGTCTCTCTATTTGTGATGTTAATAGTACTGATGCTCATTGCTTAGATCATTGATTCGTGCAGTTTGTAAAAACATTCCTCTTACATTTATTAGTTAAAATACTTTTATAACAAAGTATTTCTCTTCATGTATTGTTTGGTTGGTCATTAGTATAATTCATATGGAAAAGGCAAGATAAATGTGTTTTGTTTTGTTTTTTTACCTTTACTTAATATTATGTAATTAATTGGTTTTCTATCAGCCTCTTAAGATGACCAATTATAATTATAAAATGTCATTATGAACTCAAAGATTTAAACATACTTCATTGGTTTCAATCCATTACAATCAGATGTTATGGTAGGTCAAATGATCCCAATTGTGCTAGTGGAGAGCTTTGTCAAGTTGGCCCAGAGGTTCTTTTGGTGAGACTCTAGTAGTCTTTGGCAAAGCTCCCTTGCTGTCAGATACAACAAGCTGTCCCAAACTCCTCTTCTAAGTGTCCTATCCCAAATCAACAACTTTCGCTGAGAAGCCCTGGTTTATTTATTGAGAAACGGTGTTTCAATGTCACAATCTAGACTTCAATGACACTTATTGCTGCAGTTACTCATTGTTTTGAGGATTTTGTCTAAAATGAATCTGATATTTTCATTTCAAATTCAGGACACAAAGTTTTTACCTAATCTCTTCTATATGACATCTGCATCTCCTCCCCACCCCATTAAGACTCTTGATTATCAAGGACATAGAGGATGACAGAATTAGATTGTCTCATAATTACTCATTATTTTTATTTCACATTTCATAGACAGTATCTCAGAATTACAATACCTATTCTAAAACAAAAATAAAATTAAGGAATATTTTAAAGGTGTTTGTATATATTTTTCCCCATTCTCTTCTCTTATTTGGATATACAATAAGTACTGTGCTCATATTAGCAGAGCAAATAGCTGTTACATATTTTATTCTTCACTTTAATTCTCATGTAGTCATTTAATTATATCTTGAATGCTTACTGCTACTTCTTATGTCAATGTCTTACTTAGGGTCATTTTTGGAGTTTATTTTGGTTAACCAAAGCATGTTTTTATGTAGTTTGCTCAGGAATGACTTGTGAGAACAATATTACTGATATCTTACATTACTTACATTCTTAGATCTCGATAGCACTTTTTTTAAATCACTTTTAAACTTAAGGCTCCTTAATTTTTGTTGTTGATTATGACACAGATTTATAACTTTTATTAGTCTTTTCAAGAAACAGAATTTTA